TTGTGTGTTTGTGGTTGTGTTTGTGGTTGTGTGTCTATTGTTGTGTGATTGTGGGTGTGCGTTTGTTGTTATGTTTGTGGTTTTGTTGTTGTGGTTGTGTGTTTGTGGTCGAGTGTTTGTGGTTGTGTGTCTGTGGTTGTGTGTCGATTGTTGTGTCTTTGTGGGTGTGTGTTTGTTGTTATGTTTGTGGTTGTGTTTGTTGTTGTGTTTGTGTTTGTGGTTGTGGTTGCGTGTTTGTGGTTGTGTTTGTGGTTGTGTGCTTGTGGTTGTGTTTGTGGTTGTGTGGACCCTGAGCAAATGGAGGCAACCAGACAGGCCCAAACTTTCCTACTTATTCCACGGAGCAGTGGGGTGGCTGACAAAGGTATGAAGACCTGACACATGTGACTTTCATTCTCAGTTCCAAGAAACAGTGCGCGCATCGCCAAGTCTTGTGTTTGAAGCATACTATCTGCCATTCAATCTGCCATTCTATCTGGCAATCTATCTGACATACTATCTGGCATACTGTCTGGCATACTATATGGCATTTTGTCTGGCATACTATCTGTCGTTCTATCTGGCATATCTTCTGGCACTCTATCTGGCATTTTATCTGGCATTCTATCTGGCATATTTTCTGGCATTCTATCTGGCAATGTATCCAGCAATCTATCTGACACACTATTTGGCATACTATCTGGCATATCTTCTTGCAGCATTCTATCTGGCAATCTACCTGGCATTCTATCTGGCATTTTATCTGGCAAACTATCTGGTTGAGGTCCAGCGGTGCACACTGCGATCGGATTCTTGCGGTTGAGGTCCAGCGGTGCACACTGCGATCGGATCCTTGCGGTTGAGGTCCAGGGGTGCACACTGCGATCGGATCCTTGCGGTTGAGGTCCAGGGATGCACACTGCGATCGGATCCTTGCGGTTGAGGTCCAGGGGTGCACACTGCGAGGGGATCCTTGCGGTTGAGGTCCAGGGGTGCACACTGCGATCCGGAGCTGGCCAGACAAGATCGGCGAAGCAAGGAGGAAGGAGGAAGGAAGGAGGAGGAGGAGGCGGAGGAGGAAGAACAACTGTGATAGAATCTAACAACCCTCACCTGGCAGGTGGGGAATCAACTGACAGGCAGAGCTTGAATCGTTTCTTCTTCCCAATGCAACACTCGTCCATCAGTTTTTCCTCACGTTCGCAACCCACTCACGGCCCTGGCCCGGCATGAACGCATCCGAGCAACATCACATCACGAGTTGGGTACGTGGCAAGCCTTGCGGCCCTGAGTTCACAGCCGCGGGAAACACAGCGCACTCGATCCGAACGGAGCCATCGTTTGCACCGATCCTTTGCACCGATCGACCCCCAGGTTTGGCTTTCGTGATGGTGCCCTAGATGAACCACATCTTCGCACACTGGGGGGGGGTGAAGACGAGGTATCCTGCTTTTCCCACCCAACATGAAGAGATGACCAACCATGGTCGGTCCACGGACCAGGCGGAGCTCCAGGTTTGGACCCACTGCCAGATCCACCAATATGCCAAACTGTTTTTAGTGTCTTCGCAAACCCCAGCAAGCTGATGTGTGTTCTCAAACCGATGGCTTTGATCAAATCATTGGCGTGCTAAACGAGGCGTTGCTCTGGCCGTACAACCGGACATTGAGAGGACGAGAACCGACCCATACCGCGCACATCTGCGGTTTCACAGCTTTCACTCTTTCGGCCGCCCAAGAAGACCAATTCCCAAATCTGAAACCCACAGAAACCTTGCTTTACTATGCTTTAGCCATGCTTTAGCCAATCGGGATGTGAAGTTTCATGGTAGTGGAGCCCAGCGGGTTTGGGCATTGCAACAGCCTCACCACCTCACCAGACTCGCCCAGCAGCGAAGCTGAAAAAACCGGGGTGTCTGGCTCCTGGTGCAAAACAGGTCAACAGCAGTGCAGTGCTCGAGTGAGGCAAACACGAGAGGGGACTCATGGCTAATATGGCTAGGAAATGGATAGTGGATGATAGTGGACAGCCTCCACAGCCTTCTGTTCTAAGATCGAACGTAAGGGAGTCCGACGTTCACGTGTTTGGACGCCACATCCACCGCTTAGGAGCTTAGTAACCCGTCCTGCTCCACCTGCACTTTGTAGGGGCCTAAATGGCACCGTTCGCCATCATGCGCGACGGAACTGCTTCGTTTCGGTCTCAAAATGTCTCAATACATAGCTGTTCACAGCAGCGTCCCACACCAAACTTGAGAAGAGGGGGGGGGACGAAAGGTTGGTCAGCAACCAAAGGTCAGCTCATCGAACTCAAGACTCAGCCGAGGCAACCTTTTTTGACTTAACACCTACACCGACACCGACTCGGACTCGTTCGGACGCGTTGGACGCCACTGAGCCGAGCGGCCCGCAGCTTTCAATTTGCCCGCACTCCTGGAGACCCACGCCACAGCCGCTGTGCACCACACAACAGTACAAAGGGGTGTTGACGGCTTTAGGCTACTCTTTTATCCCGAATATCAATTATATAAACACATATTAAACTATAATGAATGGTATCTTCAATCCCGAATCCCAAGTAGTCAAGCAGGAGGGAATCACAAATAGATACCAAAAAATAATCCCACCTCCGGAACAGTTTATGAGGCTCGGAACTGATGGTCGGAATATCAAAAAAAAACCTTTGCTCAGGGTGGTGTTTGCTTCTTGGTTTTAAGTCAGGTTTGTGTATTGATTTAGTTTTCTATTGTATTGCCTCCCATCACATCCGTGCTTAACATCCTGTGAGGCTTGTTTGATTCCTGGAGCTTTGACCTGAAAGCCGAAAAGAAAATCATCGAAATCACTACTCCTACTCCAAATCCTGTCTACTGCTACTACACTGCTCCTCCTCCTGCTACTAATTACTACTAAGACTAAGACTACTAAGACTACTAAGACTACTAACCGCTAACTACTAACTGCTGCTGCTGCTGCTGCTGCTGCTGCTGCTCCTACTCCTACTCCTACTCCTACTCCTACTCCTACTACTACTCCTACTCCTACTACTACTACTACTACTACTACTACTACCACCATTACCGGATCTACAACACAGCTGAACAAAGCCGAACGTTTGGACAAATGGATCGGGTGAGCCGGTCGAGGCGATCTGATCGCCTTACTGTGCTCGTACAGTCCACCCATGTCTTGACTCAGCATTAGAACAAGTGCGCCACCGGCATCCGCAAGTGGCAAAAAAGGCTCCTGATCTTCTTCAAAGGCTTCAGGAGTTGCGCCTTACCGCCGGAATCAGGAGTGGTACTGCACACAAACCCTGTACCACCCTGTACCCTAATACAAAGACACAACGTGTGTCAAATCAGTCTGTCATGTCGCACCTGTGTTGAACTGTTTATGCTAGTAGCCTTTTGTGCTCAATCCTGGCCCCTACCGGACGAACATGTGCGCTCTTACTGCCAAATGAGTCCAAATCCAAACATCCAGCACACCTAGCTCAGCCAATTCCCAAAGCCTTCCACCCCAATTGCTCCCAGCACTTCTTCAGCTCTGCCCACCTTCGGTCGGTTCATGTCGACCACCGCCTTTGCGCGGGAGAGCTTGGCTGTGAAGTGCTCAATGGCTTCGCTCTCGAGACCGCGGAAGCGATGATACCACATTGGAATGGCCGATCTCACCTGCGCTGAGACCACGAATGACGTGGTCTTCACCCGTTTCCACGCCGGTTTCACCCGAAGCACGGACGCACGCCGGTCTGAACAGTCGGGCCCTTTCTTTCGATTCCTTCAGTCCAAGGGGACCGTAAACGGTCTAGCCGTTGCGTCGCCGCTCGCCGAGCGCCCTGCCCGGTCTCCCCCTCGTAACGAACGCCATGTCAGCCCGTCATGAATTTGTAGCCCAAGAAGTCGCACGAATCTGAAGTTGATGGGTGGGTGTCATCGAAAACATGGTCATTGAAATACCTGGATCTTTGGGAAAATACAACGTACCATCCTCCGTGCTTTACCATTGGGATCACTGTCACTCGCCATGCATTTTATAGAGAAATGGTGGCGAGAGATAAAAACTCCAACTATATGTAGATGACTTCAAACGGTGCTTCTATAGCATGCCAAGCCAAATGCAGCAGTAGTAGTAAGACATCAGTTGCGGGATCGACATGGGAAGCCTCTATTAAAAGAAATAGAACTACTCCCCAATAGCACAAACATGTTGCTGTGTATAATGAAAAGCCATATTACGGATTTGTTTTCAGTATATGGTTGAAACATGTAAAAAAACAATGATAAAACACATGACATAAAGTATAAAAACACAGGGACACAGGGTTAAAGCTGAGAGGTGAAGATCCACTCTGAAAACTTCGTTTGGGCACCAGGTCAGGGTAAGGGATCAAACAATATTTAAAAATAGAATCAAAAAAACATATTCAACGGGGATCAATAAAATAAAAAAGGGAATCAAAAAAGGGTATTCTAGCCCACTGAGGATGGTTGGGGTAGTAGTAGTAGTAGTAGCAGTAGCAGTAGCAGGATTAGGAGACCAAGGGAAGAGGATGGAAGGAGTAGGGGACTAGGAGAGTGTACCTCCCTAGGAGCTCCTTCCTAGTAGGGAGCTATTTCTACTGGTGAACAATTTTTCGAGTAGGGCTAATCAATCACTGGACGGCTACCATCATATCATTGGGTACCTACTTTCCTCCCAGGGAGCTGCCTCTAGTAGAAAGCAATCAAGCCTCTATTTGCGCAAGCAGGGGACCAGGAGACCGAAAGACGAGCGGAGTAGGAGAGCAAGAGACCAGCGGACCAGGAGACAGAAGGACCAGGATACCAGGGGACCAGCGGACCACAGGATGAGGAGAGCGGAGGACCAGGATACCAGGGGACTAGCGGACCACAGGACCAGAGGACCAGGAGACCGGAGGACCAGAGGACCAAAGGACCAAGGGACCTTATTACCAGAGGACCCGCAGACCACAGGGCCAGGAGAGCAGCAGAAGAGGCCTATCAAGGATTTTTGTTTGATTCGCTTTTTATTTGCTTTGTTGATCCTCTTTTTTGTGTGATGCTCTTTTTATTTTATTTTTGATACCTATGCCACCAGGTCATAGGTTCTTCAATCAAACGTTTAGAACAAAAACTACCTATATGGGGCTCTATGTTTTTAGTTCCTCTCAAGTTCCCTTCTTTTCTGGCAATTTACAGTGCAGGTTTTTGTGGAGATTTGGGAATGTGAATGAGTTTTAAGAAAATTTGGGCAGAATTATGTAGTGTGTTTGAGGCAACTATAAAAGGATTTGAGGAATTTGAAAAGGTTGCTCCTCAAACCGTCAGTAGGTGTACTTGGAACGGAATTCAACCTTCACTTGGATGATTCCCATACCATCAGTTGGTGTATTGGGTACTTGGAACGTTTCATGATAAAAGGTTCATAATTCTTTCGTGGAATTTCGAGGAACGTTGCATGTTTAAGGCAAACTGTGCAAAGCTATGCAAACCTTACATTCTCTACCAATTCTGGGCCATGCTTCCACATGCTCCCACAGCACGGGTACCCTTAAAATGCAAGGTAAGGGTATCACGAGTGCCGAAACGTGCACGTCACGGCACCCCCCCACTCCTCGAGAACAGCGTAATGCGTGGCGGCATCCGGGTTCACAAGACGACATGCCAAGACAAGGCCAGCAACAAGACATGCCAAGCCAGCTCGTTTCTCAAATTCCGTCAAAGCTGTTCAAGCTTCCAGGAAGCTTTAAGACACTGCTAATATGATGAGGGTCAATGTCAACACCCCATTTTATATAGTGTCAACTGAAATGTAAATGATCGTTATTATATGGAGGACCAAGTACCGAGGATACTGTACTGTACCATGTTTTTCTCAAAACGGTGACTTCAATGATTGGTACCGTATAATACTAGGAACAAGAAGCTACTAGGGGCTCCTGGCATCGCTACTAGGAGCAAAGGCGCTACGTTCGGGGCTCCTGGCCTTACTACTAGGAACAAGCTTCGCTCCGAACGGGGCTCGTTCTTCGGCGGTTTTCTGGCGTGGCGTTCTTCGGCCGAGGCGCGGAGAGGGTGGCCACTTGGATGTCCATGCAATTGATCCGAAAAGCTTCCACCGGAGTCAAGGCCACTGCTCGAGCCTCGTACCTGGGCATGCGGAATGCCAAGCGCGCAGTGTCAAGCGCGCTATTGCTGGCGCCATGAGCGGCATGCCGACCCAAAAGATGGCTGGTGCACTGTGCACTGGTGCTTGATCTGAAGAGCTGTCTATGTCCCAGGGGTCTGTGGCCAGTTTCAAGAGGGTTGAGAAAAAGTTTGCCACTGTCAACCAATTTCCTCAACTTCATCGGCCAACTATATCAATCCGTGCTCCTTCTTTCAGGTGATTCTCCTTCCTTTTTCGTTTCGGCTTCCCGATGTGTTCCGCTTTTCCATGCTTTTCCCTTCTGACCTCACCAACCTGCCCCCAACCTGGCGTCCACAACGGTCCACGGCACTGCATGCAGAGCCATTCCGGCAGGATCGCCATCCCACCAGTGCCCACCGACTGGATGGGGTTCATCGGATGCTCCGAAGGCCCCACCATGACCCCGGCACGTCCACGGGCAAAGATCTCGGGCGCGCGAGCGAGGCGAGCGCCCGCTTTGGGCTCTCCGGGGTGTTTGCGCAAAGTTCTGTCAAGCTTAAGGACATGCTTTCGCGCTGTCCGTACAATCAAACATAAACATCCCTGCTGCCATGCTCAAGATATGAAACATTCACCAGCTTGCCATCCTTCCATCTTGACCCATCTTGACCCATCTTGACCCACGATCCTCGCGACTTGGCGCGGTCTAAGCACTGGACCCAATGATGACGGCCGCTCGCCGTCGCATTCGTGGGGATCCGCCAGGTCTCGCCGGGCGCCAGGATGTAGCGAGTCTTGGGTCCACGGCGGGGGAGACACGCCGTCATGTCGGGCACAGCGTCTTTTCGTGGACTCTGAAGAGACGAAGCGAAAGGGTGGATGCTCCCGACTGACTTGTCTGTCTTGACGTTGATGTGTCTTTGCTCCGAGGGGCCGAGTGGAGGGCTAGGGTACGGACCAGCACATCATTTGATGCTCCAAGAGGCAGCGAAAGAATTGGAAAGCCTCGAGAGTGGCACAGACAGGAGAGCTCCAGGGATCAAACATCAAAGTGGATCTGATTCAGCGTTCAACAGAATTTCAGGACGGTCGAGGTCAAAGGTCGTTGCTTCAGCATGCTTCAGCATGCTTCAGCTCTTAACTGGGCACTGAAGTCAACAAATCTCAATGATGGTCAATGCCCTCAATGGATCCGATCGGAGTGTTTTAGTGAGCTTTTTCAATCTTCACAAAATGAGGTCGCTCGTATAACAGTGTGTATATATATAGTGTATACTATACAAAACATCGCTCAATTCGGTTCACACAGCAAGATTGCTCCACCGAGGATCTGACAACCAAAACGACGAGCTTGCAATTTTGCGGCGTTTCTGATCAACCATTTAGAATTTAGACTCGATCTGTTTCAGGTCAGACTTTTCAATTGGCACCCCAATTGAAACGTCAATCGTTGTCAACATATCAGCGGTAATGAGGAGACTTGCAGGTGCTCTGATTGGGATTTGTTGGAAGAGTGTTTCAATGCCCAACCCGTAGAAAGCGCATCCCAGTCCCTTTCGACCAAGCCACAAAGCCCACTTGCTCGCCCCCAACGCAACCCACCGAAACCATACACCACGCTCGCATCACAGTACTGCGCGATCTGAGTACTTTCTTCGCGAGCCTCGGTCGATCTGCGACAACTTCTCCTGGGCGAGCTTCTGCAAGTGCTGGCTGGCCGCTTCCGAGGACTTCAGAATGGGCCGAAGACCCGCCGAGGTCACCACGACCTGAAGGAGGGACAGCGTCTTCGACGCGATGTGGACATGGAGAGATTGCAAATGCTGAGGTTTGGTTCGAAAGAAGCAGAACAAACGCTAACACATCAGCCAAAAGGAGAGAAAACATGAGAAGACTGGAAACAACAAAAGAATGCATATTTCAGAGCTGAGCACCGTGTCTGTTGGTCGACAGGCGGTTAAGGTCACAGTGCGAAAGGACAGGAGGCCCAGAATGGCAAGCTCTCCAGTTACCTGGCCAACATGCCAATCATTGTTTCCATATTGTTTCTATGTAGGCGATGGCAAAATCAGCAAACCTGCGAACGTGCAATGCTAGGCCGCTGGCTGCACTAGTCATCAGCCGTGCCACCTGGGTGAGACCCCGCTCAAAAGGATCAGCCGGGGTAAAAAAAGGTCTCTTCTCTTCTGCTGCACACGGGACAGGGTATCTAATCTATCTGGGAATCGCACCACCTTTCCCTCCTTGCACTTGGCTTCAACTTCGCCATCAATGATCACTATCCTCAGCTTTGCCGTGTTCTGCTCAGCCCCTGGGACGTTCATGTAGCAAAGTACGTGCATGTGTACACTATCTAGAGACATCTATATGTGCAGCAGCATCTATTTTGTACTAAACTCAAAAACACTACTGTATCTAATTTGTGGGGGGGCCCTATCTCGTTTAGACTACTATATATAAGTAGGAGGTCATGTCACAGTATCTCGTTCAGACTACTTTAGTAGCAAATCACAGTATCTCGTTTGAACTAATTACTTTAGTGTCAAACAAAAGTATCTCGTTTATTTGGGGGCTCCTATCTCCGAACAAAGAGGACCATCCCCCCATCCATCCTCCATCCTCCGGCACCGACGGACCGACCGCGTCTTCCGCGCGAGCGGACCTCGCTCCGAGTCGCATGGAGTCCGCGGCATCGCCCGCCACGCAGAGCTCCGTTCCTTCGGCAAACCTCGGTCGACCGGGTCGGTTCGTCCGGGTCGGTGCGCAATGGACTCTCCAAAGGCCGGAAAGCTCCGCAGGCGTTGGAGGTGGACGAAGCTCTGGCTGTGTTTCACCATGTTTCACCTATCACTCTAAATCTACCACTATCCACCCAATACTGTGACGCGAACAGAACGAACGCCATCGACGTCCCCGACGTCCGTTCGACAATCGACAAACGCGGTTCGAAAACGCGGCCAGGGAACGACATCTTCAGCAGCGGAGCCGCGATCTTCGCAATGAGCTCCTCCGAGTCGCTGAAGCCCTGGAAGATGTGGCAATTCTTCCTGAGTGAATGCTGCGTTTTTGGATTCTTCGAAAACGGTGTAGGGACAAAAAGGGCGACGGGATGATGGGATGGCTGGTGTCTTTTTGTAGGAGGGCTTGTTGAGGGATGTCGTGGATCATTGTTCCTTCTCTGCTAAGCTCCAGTCCAAAGGCACTTACACAAAAAGACATCAATGGTGTTCTTTTGGCAGCAAAATCTTTGATTCATCAGTGTCTCCTTCTGGTCACTCTTAGCAATCTGGCGACTCAATTGAGGCAAGATTCAGCAAAGGTATGACAGATTTTCCAATCCATACTTTTCGGATCGCCTCTGCTTCTGCGTTCTTCTGGGAACCTCGAATGATCACAGTTGAGCCAGTTGGGAGGTCACTGGTTGTTCTGTCCATCGTGTCACATCTGACCAACGACGCACGTCGTGCTGTCCATCGTCTGAAAAGGCCGACGCACGGTCCAGAGATACACTCCGATGGGTCCGTGGAGTGACTGAAACCACCTGTTTTTGTTTTCCCGATTTCGGATTTTCCGAACTCGGGGAGTGTAACCATCCACGTAACCAGCGGTTCAGGGAGTGTAGGTCTCTGCACAAAAAAAGGCGTTTAAGTCGAGGGTTTCTAGAGAAATGTACAAACAGGATCAAACAGGTAGAGACAATTTCAGAAAACAGTACAAAAGAGTCGTGGTGTCTTCAGCAAGTACAGAACAGTAGAGTTTCTACAGAAAAGTTGAAAAAACCACTCACTAGTACCACAGAACACTTGACCACATCAAATCTCACCATGCACATCAAACCACATCCCACATCCTAATCTCCCAAATAGCTACACATCGCATTTACACTTCACCACATCCCCCCCTCCACCACAAAAGACCAGACTACACTTGTCGACATCACTACCATCACCGCATTGGGAATCATTACAGTAACGCATCACAACCTAGCCTAGCGGCCTAGCAATTCACAAGATATCCAAGACATCACATGTCACCATACTCTCATCATCCCCTCCTATACACTTTGATGCTTTGACATGTCCTTTACATTTTTGCAGCCCTGCGCCTCCCAACATTGCGAGATTTGAGGGGTTGAAGGGGTGGGGAGTAGATGGGAGGATCCAGCGGGGTGGACGATGATTACTGTAAGTTCATATGTCGCCTTTTTGATTCTTTAAAGTGTTCATATTTGTTCTTTTAATGTTGGAGAGTTTTTGTGTCGTGGTTTTCTGGCTGACAGGATGATGGTTTTCAACACTACAGCTGCTTGGTGTCTGCTGTTACGCCTTTCTGGCCTGCGTGGTACGGGAAGCTCCCTCTCCAGGGTGTCGGTGAAGTGTCTGAGACCATTGTTTCAAGTGAATCCATCCGCTTTAGGCCATATTAATATTATGTAATTGTGTAATCTGTATGTCACACTGCCTTTGTTGGGTGACACACTTGTCCAAAGTCAGCACCTTTCATGCAGTCTCTGGAATCAGACATATCCAGGAAGTGACAGTAGGTTCAATCATGTTCAACATAAATCAACAACTGCCACTCTTCCCCACCCCTAAAGCAGCTTTCGGGCTGTGTATGCCATACATGCCTTTCGTCCGTCTAGACCACCTGACATCAGGCCATCACGACTCGGATGACCAGGCCATCATGTGTAAACCGTGAAGAAACCAAAGTTTACCCGCAACGGGCTCCCACGACCTGGCCAGGTCGACCTGGTCAGGTGGACCTCCTTTTGGGACCTCCCAACACTGCCAAGTCGTGTTCGTCCATCATGACCACTGCCTGTGGGTCATGATGGGTCATGTTTTGTTTAAAGTCTTTTTCTGACACGCAATCTTAGATACAGATTTTCGTAGGTGGTCTCTTGTGGCTTCCCTTCGCAGCTGCTTCGCTGCCATGGCACGCATCATGAATTGGTTCTCCAAGGCCTGGCAGTCCTCGGGGTGCTCTTCAACAGCCTCAGCTGAACTCAGAAAGGACATGAGGCATTGACAGCATTCTCAACCGTGTATTCCACTGATCCATGAGCAGCTGCAATAGACCCAACCATTTCAATGCATGGATTCAGTGTAATGACCAAACGAGTTATATAGGAGATTAACAGCGTCAAACTTGTTTTTTTTAACGAGTCAGCAAATGTGCGCGTTTGGTAAGACATGTTCTGCAGTGATTCATGCTGAACTCAACCATTTCCGAGACGCCTTCCCAATCGACTGTCCTTGCAATCGGATGAGCCTGACCATTCCACCCTGGCCGCACAGCAAGCTGGTAAGTACCGATGAAAGAAATCCGCTCCTCTAGAACATCCTAAATTCTGGTATTTGTGGAATATTTTGTGGCATACCAGTGCTGCTAGCTGGTGTGGGATACCTTCCCTCAATCGCATTCTCTACAGAATCCATATTAGCTACCCTAGAAATCCTGACATAAATAGAAATCGATCTCCGGAAGTTAGCACAGGATGTCGCAAAGGCGTTGACAAGACAAAAGCCAGACGTTTTAGGGGTGTTTGCGTTCTGGTGATTTGTTACTCGTCCCCTTTTCGGTCACACACCCCACACAAATACAACTTTACAATTGTACATCACTTTATATAGCTCAACAATCAATTGATATTTTGAAACTGAAGAGACTGGCTTGCTGGTGGATTCCATCCAGCCAGCCTTGGGCACTGTGCGCCCGTCTGACCCGGACATCTTCAGCTGTCACGAACTCTTCAGCTGTCCGAGCCCAGCCTTCCAGGCACTCACTTGTGTCGATCGCTTATTGGCGATTCCAAGTGCACCGCCTTCCCCGACCAGCGAACCTGGCACGCCACGTGTACCCAAAAAGCCTCCAAGAGTGGATCTATGTGGATCTGATGTTTGGTACACTTTTTTAAAGGGAACATCTTCAGGAACCCACAAGTGGGCTTTGGAAGATCATACTCCTACTCATACTCCTTATCCAGGTGGTTTGCGCTCCTGACTGTGCACATACAAGCACAGTGCCACACCTGACTTGATCTGGGCCACTTCCTCCCCGTGAGCCAAGATGACTGCGGCATTGCCGGCCACCAGCAAGTACCTCACTGTCGCGGTCAGCGGTCAATCACCACAGGTCAATCACGGCGGTGCGACAGTGGAACAGTGAACCGAATGGAGGTGTCACAAAGTGTTTTCGACGTCTGGTGAAAGAAGCTCTGGAAAACATTTAAACATATTTAAACACGTTGTTCGTCTTTCGTGAAGCACTCACGAGATCTCACGAGTCACGCGTTCGTCATGAGTTGTCATGCTTCTGCGGGAAATCAAGGTTCACCCATCATGTCCAATCTTCAGCAGAAACATGCTGGTAACGGGTCACTTTGGACATGTCCGATCTGGTGTACAGCAGAAACACGGCCCCGGTTGAAGACTTCGGAAAGACTGGAGGGTTAAACCTCCCCACTGGTCGCCATTCCGGGGGGGTGGCATGCACTGCTCATACGTTAATCTGGAGCCAAGGCCACATGACGGTTTCCCCCACGCTGCAACTCTCGCCACAGGTGATGATGCATTCACCGGCCGCATAGTACACCTTCCGCGCAAGCGCAATAGTATTTTCATTATATATGTTTTTTCATGTTTTGGTTTTGCGATAGAAACGACTGTAACCGCTTCCCAGAGGCTCCTTATTGGAGAGGATTTATAGTTCCATGCAATTTCTATCTATTCATGGCCTATGGCCTGAGTTACACACGCACATGCATAACTCGATCAACCTCGACATCCTCCGGACTTGGAATCCCCGAACACCAAGCTTCACTCGCATTCACTCGCACCTCGTCTGCGAACTCGCAAACGGCCTTCAAGAAATCGATGCCTCGGAAGTACCGGTGGACTCCGGTGGACCATGGATGGGCGATCGCAAGCCAAGTGTCTGCGCGCCTGGGACTTGGGGAGTTCACTGTTTTCTTGTTCTTTTGACGAAAGCATTGAAGTCAGTTCACGTTTCATACACACCTTTCAGTTTCTGCAGCTGCTCAGGATGAAACAGCTGATTGAAAAAGGATTAAAAGGCGGTATGTATGGCTGGTATGGCTCCAAAAGCCCCAAGAAAGGGGTACCCGCAACATGAAACTGTAGCTCGAAAGCTTTAGATTCTCTCACTTGACCTTACTTTGATCTTGCTTGACTCTACCTCTTGCATCCTCTTGCTACCCCTTCACCCTTCGTGCCGCAGGGTCCGGCCCACCAAAGCGCGGCGCGAGCGGCGCTGCGATGGTTCGCCGAACGAGTTCACGCTGAGATCCCCCACTGGAAGAAGAGAACAAGGGATGGTGAAGCTTCAAAACTTTTGGAAGTCTTCGAAGAATATCCTCACGAGAACACATCAACCGTGTGTCGTTGTTGTCGTTTTCTTTGTGACACCTTCTTTTCGGAACGTGTGTGGGTTGGAGCCTTCCGGATTCTTAACGTGCAAGACGATCCAGCGAAGCAAGTTCCGCCCAAACACGGGAGACGCCTGGAGATTCTGAGAAGCACTCGTTTTGCTGGCTATTTGTTAACCTCTTACAAACGATCAGGTGTAGATTCCAATGGACCCTTCTCTTTGGACCTCCCCAAAAAAAGGGAGGCCAAGTGCATCTCTCGTTTTCGACCCAAACAGGCCATATACTAAGCAACACGCCCGCCCTTCGGGGTCGCTGCGTTCGGTCTCCTCTTGATCTGCCAAGAGCCGATTGAACCTGGGTCCATGCGAGCGGACACCCGACACCACCGGACGGAATCGAACCGGGTCCGCGGTGCGGTCCGCGGGTGGACCTGGGTGGTTTGGGTGACAAATCTCAGTGGTCCTGTTTGGTGTGGTTTGGTGGTCCTGTTCCAAACAAGTTGTGACTGTCAGGGAACCATCAAACGAAGGCACCGGATGATGTCCAGATTTGCCCAGCCATGACAAAGATGATACTTGCTGCTGACTTGCTGGGGAAGGAAAACTGATAGCATAGCTTCTCAGTCCCTATCCGCTGCTACAGGAGTGGAGCAGCGAGCCAGGTTGGCACACCTTGGCTGGCAAGGAGCAACTCCCTCTCGTCCGGGAACTGGTCAAGAACCTCCTGGCACAGGATTCTTCACACCCCTGTGTAGTGCATCTCGTTCATGCACTGAACAAAACATCAAAACAGCAAACAGCAGCATAAAACAGCTACACATATATATATATATATATATGGGAGTGAATCCAGATTGGGAACGCCCCGCGGACCAATTTCACGTCTAAATTCAATGTCTGATTTGTCCGTTCTCCCAGTGGCTCCATACTCGAATTGGGTCCATAAAATATTGTATATACTGTATATATATATATACAGCGGTAGTATATATTAGTTTCATTTAATGTCTAGGTCTAGGTCCAGGTATTTCTACTATGTTACGCTCGCGCGCGGAAAAAGAGGGTCTGAGGCAGACACATTGAAGTCGTTGCGCGGCAAAGACAGCACCAAGCACAAGTTCTCAACTCGCACCTTGAAAGATTCTCTGGCTAAAAAGGTAGTGAATTGTTGAACCGACTGAGTGGTCAACCTGTCCTTGTCTTCCGGGGTGAACTAGGGTGAACTGACCCGGTGGCGCCTTGCCTAGAGCATTCTCCCAAACAGCTGTGGGTTTGAAAGAACGCTTTGAGGCACAGCTTTGGGGTGCTTGGGCTTTCCAGGTTTCAGTTTTCCAGGTGGCTCACCTCAGCATCCGACCTGGCGTCCTCCAGTAACCGGTCGTTCCAATCCCCAGAGTCCACCGCCCTGGTTGGTTTTCCAAAGAACATCTTGTTGGGTTCCAAGATGCATTGGGCTCAGCTCCGCCCAAACACACATCCAAGAGAATCACGTTGGTTTTTCATTCGTTGCCCGAACAATCCGTGTATCGAACATTCATCTACATTTGGGTGCGTTTAAGATGTCTTGAGATGTTTAAAGGTCAATCAATGTGTATACCCTGGGAGTCAAAGACTACAAAGAGAATGGTCATGAGTCAAAAGAATGGTCTTTAGGGTGCGTGAAAGGGAATGTCCTTTACTTCACTGTATGGAAAAGTATAGTCTTTTGACCTCTATAGAGGGTATATATATATATGTATAGGTAAATATTCTATACATGGAGTGTCTGGGTTGGGCTGCAAAAGGGCCAGCCCATTTCTTCATAAAGAGCGCATGAAACTCATTTCGTTTGCTTTCGTCCAGGCTGATCTGCCAGGCACGGCATAGGGATAGAAGGTGCAGGTCCCCAGGAGCGAAGCTTCAGAGATCGCAGCTCCTGCAAACCCATTGGCCAGATGACAAAATACACATCAATTGGCTGCCAATTGGCTGCCGGCAGTTGGATTTGGTGGTTCACTTGAGGAGTCCCATTGCTCTTCCGTCTTTGAGGAGTGCGGCCGTGGTGGCCCTAGATGTCCAAAATCCCAGTCTAGAGTCTTGAGTCTAGATGTGCCTCGTGAGCCAAACGCCAGCCATCCAGCGCTGCTTCTCCACTGATCGGCCGATTTTGGGGTCTGGAGCCGAACCTTTGGTGTCTGTAGCGGATTCTCCACCAACATGTCGTATAGATTATCATATGATCATGGATCCCTGATCTTCCTCAGCCCCTCACTTCCCCAAAACTCCAAATATCTCCAGATGTCCATGTAATTCCAAACCCTTCCCTTTCACTTTCACCGCATCTTTCTGTCCCCTCCGACGCGTTTCACATCTCACGCTCCTGCTTCGAAGCGCAGCACCGGCGTCTCCGCGTCGTCACCCATGACCGCGGCACTTCCCCTCGTGATGGCTGGTCCGTTGGCTTTTCGCGGCTTGGCGGCTTGCATAGCTGGTGGTACACTTCTCTGGTTGAAGACGAGTGTGTCATTGATGGTTTGAGCCATGCTTTCAGTCTATATCAGTTTATGCTAAATATTACATGATATATATATATATACTGTATATGTATAATAATATAATATATAGTATATATTGCATATAGTAGTCACAGTAATGTCACGCTATACTGTAACTTTATAACATGATATACAGGGAAAGATTTATATAAGGATGTTTAAGGTCACATCCGGAAACCCATTGCATTTCCAACAACGGGGCTTTTGTTTCATTTTCCTGCATGGGCCGATGAGCAAAGAATTCTCCTGGCCGATGAGCAAATCACCATCCTCAGGAGATTTTTGGGAGAACATCACATTTCCCCAACAAATCATTTCAGGGTTTCTAGGACCAACAGTTTCTACAACCAACCTCGTGGATCTGTACAGTATTTCTTTTGGGAACTCTTGGACCTTATCAATTCCCCATGCCAGCGGACTCACTGACCCCAACGAGAAAGCTCTGTTGTTTCGGCGGCCGGCCGGGCATGGCAGCCTTCAGAAGGCTTTCGAAGGGGAACGCGCCAAACAATCACCACCACTGGTGTACTGAAACACACATCATGAAATAATGCGACATAGGATTAAGGAACCCCCGCTATTAATCAAGCGCAGCTCCCCCAGAAAAAAACAACAACATATATAGTTGGCTTTATATTTAGTTATTTTTTTTAGTATTCAATATCTTTTGGTCCATGGTGAAACTGATCTTCCAATTCACCCTTGTGATCCACCCTTTTCCCATGCTGATCCTGTCGTCCATCAATCATCCATGGTGAAATTGATCTTCATTCTCATCCATCATTGTCTTTCATTATCATCCTCCTTCTGCTTCTCATCCTGCTTTTTCTTCTCATCCTTCCCTGTTCGAAACCAAGAAATGCTAGCAAAATTCTATTATTGTCCCTTATTAAAACTCTATCAAAGTCTTGAGGTGTTCAAGCTCACAAAGGGTACCCCTCACACAGGCCCTACCACCCCCTAATAGTAGGGACCCCTCCCCCTATTAATCAAGCCCACCCTCTGGCCTCAATCTTGTGTTCCATCTCTTTCATCCTGCAATCCTCTTCTTTTCCTAATCATCCCAATCAAAGAAAGAATCTTGTCTTGCAATCCCTTTCATCTCTTTCCTAATCATCCCAATCATCCCAATCCCAATCTTTCCCAATCTTGTCATCATCTCATCATCCATCATCAGGTCATCATCTTTATTAAGGGGATGTGGTCTCCAATCCCTCCAATCCCAAACCTTGTTGACCTTGAAGGGGGGGTTGATTAATCCTATGTCGACATTATCACGAATATCGAGTACACAATGGGCTTATTATTGTGGATCATTTAAATTTTATGGATTATTATACGTTATTTTATACTTATACTACGTCAGCTACGCGCAAAGTTCAAAGATGGCACCAGCCCTCTTCCCGCCAGGCCTCAACACGATGAACATGTGATCTGCATAGTCTCGTTCCCGGGTAATATACTCGCCAACCTGGCAGTCCGTGATGAGGCCGCGCACATCCACGCACCGTGTCGCACCGTGTGGGATCCTCGGTCGTTCACCTGGTCGTTCACCGAACGGCCCGCCTCACCGACCCGCCGAACAACGACATGGCCGACCCGTCGACGCTCGCGTTGGTCGCCTTGAAGAGCATCGCGCGCATCCGAGGACCTGCGTCACCCAGCGGTGAGGGACACGGTGATGAAACCGAAAGAGGAGCGAAGGAGGCGCGGGGTGAAGCTGTTCTGGCGGCGCTGTGGACTGTTCGAAGAAAAACACCATCTGAAAGACCCACGTCACGATGGAGGTGTCATTCGGACGAGTGATTCTCCCATCGGATCATCTGTCAGACGATTGGGGAATGTACCGTCCCCACGGGGTCTTTCGGATCTTCGGACTGGTTTCGTCCTCTTGGACCGAAGGCTCGGACGTTCGGTCCTCCGAGGCCTACTTCACTCCCGGTTTCACCAAACGGAACTGCGTGTCGAGGCTCGCATGAGCGTCATGAACTTCTCATGGGCCGCTCGAAAAAAGGCACAGCGGTTCAGAATCTCCGGAGAACCTGCGACGGACGCTCCCGGCCGCTCCCGGCATCAGCCCGCCCCGTGCCAAACAGAGGGAAGAATCCGCTCAAGTGGCTTAGCAAAGTGATTTAAGGTGATATATTATGGTGATATAAAGTCGTGCAAGTTAGTAGTCTGTCTCAAAGGATCTCAAAGGTCGTATTGAATTTGTTAATTTATTAGCTCCACCGTTTGGGTGGGTGTTTTCATGTTTTCTCCATGGGTGATAGGATTCAAATGCACAAACTGGGTCCAGTCTTGTGTCCTGGTCCTGCGCAGGGGTGTCCCAAACTGGAGAGGACATGGGAGAACAGCCTCCCACAAGAACGACCAGTCAAAAATGAGGAAACCCCATCCCATCAGAAGCACATTAAACAATATATTATAATATGTTTCACTATAATTTGATTATAATTGAATATCATTGAATATCAATTTGTCAATTGACAATTAAAAACATGTCCAAACATTGGATGATCCATGACATCCTCAACTTGGCCCCCCCGGGGCCAGATCCGATCCGATCCTGAGAATCGGCCGCGCTCGGGCTCCGAGCTCGGGCGCCTCGCTCCACTCCAAGCTCTTGCTGTGCCTTGATAGACATTTCTTCCAGGATGCCCTGCTCCGTTTCAGCGCGCTCGTCGGGGCACTCGGACATGACCTTTTCCTCAACGGCCGGTGACTTCGGCTCGACCGGTGGCAAACGACCCCTGCTTGAAAGCAACTCCTGGCATCTCCTCCAGAGATACCGCACGACCTGTGGCTCATTTTTCAAGGACCTGTGGGGCCAAGATATCCATCCCGAAACCTTAACAGCTGCTGAGGGTCAAAAACGCTACGGCTCACCATCTGCACTTCACAGGCTGTCTTTGGTTCGATGGATGAGATCCTCGATCTAATGCCGATCAGAACATGCTCACCTTGGTTTCCATAGTGGGCATCTGGCACGAACGAGTGAGGAGTGATGACTCTAGAGGAGGAAATTCTTTCAGAAATGACTCTCACGAACTACAAAATTGAGATGCTTTACAAACCGATCTGGAACTAACACTTGCTGTGCTCTGGAACCGATATGTGCATCTCTGCAACTTGGTGCAACTTGCCACTGCTTCGTGCCGCCTGGGGGCCGAAACAGCTTCCTTTGGACATCAGAATCCGATGCCCGCTCTCTTCAGTCACATAGGCTTCGCCTGCGCAAACAGCAGGGTCCGTCGCTCTTTGGTGCCCAGTGGTGCAGGTTTTGCCAAGATGGAAGGGAAGAGGTCAAAGTACAGCAGAAAGAGCCAAGGAAGTGATGGGTTCAATTCAAATGGTTTCAGTGGAAATATGTCCTAGAACGTCCTACAACCGAAAGAACTTCAAGTGTAAACAAATGACAAATGACAATATAATACTGTACTGACTGTATTCATGGCAAGTGGAATAGTAGGAATCTCCAAGCATCGCCAACTAATTGTGGGAAGCTTGACTGCAGGTTGCTATGTAGGCTCTCCAGAACTCTAGACATTTCGCCATCAAATCCAGAGGAACCCATGGGGGGTTCTGCTCCATCGCGCTCATCCCGCGCCTCAGCCCCTCTTGGCCTTGCTACTCCTCTTGGCCCCGCTCGGCATCCCCAGGGTCCCGCCTGAAACCAAGAGATATGCCACGTCTGTCGGCAAAGGATCTCCGTCCCGTGTGGCCCATTCACCGGGCGGAGTGCCTCGAGTGGCCCATTCGCCGCAAAAAGGATTGTTCGTTGACAGTCGAAACTCGTGAACATGAAGATACGACAGGAGGAGACTGTCTCTCTGTGGCTCTTCTCATCCTGAAGTGGAAATCAACTGTTTTCGGCAAAAATGACCTTTCTGCCAATAGGAAGACAGCGATTCTTCTGAGAGCTGCGAAGAAATCCCTTTGGTCTGGGCCTGATATAGTTCTCCAACCGAACAGGTTTGAGCATCCGCATCCAAAAGCAAGTTTGGCGATGGTTGTGTGATTCTTTGTTGAAATACATCTCTTGTAGTCTACTGCGTATAGAGCCTCCAGTCAAGAGCAGTAGCAATGGAAGAATAGCAGTAGTCAGCAGCAGCAATACGGATTGAATCGTATCGAAAGTAGTCGTTGTCGGAACTACATCAACAGCTGTTGCGGGAGTAGTTGCAGTGTAGAGTGGCAGCATTGGTAGAAGAGGAAAAATAATTGGCGAAGGTAGCAGTATCGTAGTAGTAGTAGTAGTAGTAGTAGTAGTAGTAGTAGCAGCAGCAGCAGCAGGAGGAGTAGTAGTAGTAGTCGTCGTGGTGGTAGAAGCAAGCAGCAGCAGTAGCAGTAAAATGCCAGTAGTAATAGTAGCAGTAATAATAGTAGCGGCAATAGTGGCAAAAGTAGAAGTAGAAGTCAAAGTAGAAGTAGTAGTCTTACTAGCAGCAGTAATGATAACAAACATAGCAGCATCTCAGCAGCAGCATAAGTGATCCGGCGGGGTCAAAACCTTTGGGGGGTCCTACGTGGTTCTTGGGGGCACTGCCCCACTTTTCAGTGCACGTACTTCTATATGATATCAGTTATATATATTATCAGAAATATTGTGTGTATAATATGTAGGTACGGAACAATCAATATATGAGAGCAACATTCCCATGACGTTGGATGTCCGCCTTCTAAGAAATGATCTTTTTTTGGCTCGTCTTCAATAGCATAGTCAGCTCTTCAGCACTGGCCAAAGACTCCAAATCTTGCTGCGAAGCCACTCCTCCGAGTTGCTTGCAGATTCAAATAGTAGAGCCTCACGTTATGAGTCGGTCGAGTCGTTTTCGAATTCAGCTTCGGTGCGACCAAGCTGCAAGCGCTCTGAAGCCTCCGACGGGTGGTTGCGTCGGGGGGGCGGGTAGAATGCTCACAGTGTGCTCGACCCATTGCATCCAATTGAAGTTCTTCTTCACTGTGGTCTGACAGTCTATATCCACAACACTATCCACAACATTGCAAGAACCAAGTTCAGGACGCCGGATTTTCGAGAAATATGTGGCCGCGAACCTTCTTCAAGAAGGGAAAGGTGCCGCGTTCCGCAGCCACTTGTACAGCACGTAGGCACATGAGCCTTAAACTTAATTAGGGCGAGGAAGGGTTCGAATCCGAGACATTGCAATGACATCAGACATCAGCAGGAAAAACTATTGAGCATGTCATATAAGCCTTGGGACTGGGGTGTGAGACATGAAAAGGTTCGCCGTTCCTTTCGTGGCCAACGACATTTCGCTGTTCAAAGTTTCAGTTTTGGCCTTGTGTCCATGGTGTTCCGACGATGGTGCATGTGTGGAGCATGTTCTCGTATTCTTTGGCTACCTCTCAAAAGCGCTCAAGTGGCTCAAGCCGATGTTTTGTTTTTGTTTGCCGCAGTGACGAGACATGGAATTGCATGACAGGTCTTCGATGTTCCCACCCACCCCTCCTCCCACCAGCGGTGAGCGCTGGTGGAGCGTGCATGGACGAACAAAACATGCACCAGAAGCGACAGCAACAGCTCTTTGTGTCAACCACATCGTGCATCAACTGCAATCTGCCCTCGACTTCCGAGACAAGGCGCTGCTCGAAATGAACGGTTTCCTCCAGAGCAACATCGCAGCGCGCGCAGCATGGAACTTCCGTTTGACTGCGGGAGAATGGCTGGAACATCACACATTGTGGACATGTTGTTGATATAGGGGATGCTGTCCGGACCATTTCATCCTTATTCTTACAGTATTGGAAAAACTAACCTAATAAAAAAATACACATATCATGTGCAGGGCACATATACCTGGATCTTCCTTTGGGCGGAAAAAAGTGCCGGACCTCAATCGGGCAAAATATTCCGCCGGATTCCCCAAAAAAAACGTCGGGGACCTGAAAAAACATCCGGATCCAAGATTCTGAACAACAGAGATGAAGGTTGGAACATACACAAGCAAACTGCCTTTGCGCCACAACTAGTTCTTCTGGAACACATTTGTTTTATTCCACAACCCCACACTGGAGCCTTCCGTTCCCATTGCCCTCGCCCATCCTCCGAATGTCCTAAGAGCAGAACCATCACAAAATATGAGCCAACTTGTGCCCAAGCAAAGATTTCCAAGAAAAAACTGAGGAGTATATGGCAAGGGACCCTTCTTTCTCTGCAACCGTGTCTCTAAAGTTGTTTTACACAGTGGGTGATTCTTATGACTTCTAATGTTTTTTTAGCTTGCCTCAGGACGGCCCGCCAATAAAGTAGCAGAACTCATGGCTCCAGTCAAAACTTAAAACCCTTAAAGTCAAGACCTTCAGAAGACTGAATCCAAAAATTACACAATACGGGAAGTTACGCCGGAATTATGGGAAATTACGCCGGAGTTACGACGCGCATTTTTTTGCAACTCTCTGCAAAACATTGAGATTCTGAACAACACATGTTCCACAGCCCAAAACTTGTCCGGCAGGCTCTGCAAACCTGCACGGCTAGAACTATATATCCCAGCGCCCCAACATCCTGAAACAATGGGAGTATACATTTTCGCCGAAGTTCTCTAAGCTTAGGTACACCCACTTGGGTCTTTCAAGACGTGCATCGCGGCGATGCACTGTATCGATTTCATCCGATTTCATTTGGAAGATCACCTAAACGGATCTGATTCTGATTGATCCAGCGTGAACCATGCTGAAGCTGGTGGAACGAGCACACTTTGCAAGCAAAATCATTGCGTCAGTAGTGGATTTACCTTCAAAGAAATGCGGACCACAAAGAATGCAAAGCCTTGAGAATCCACATAAAGTGACTTGGAAAAACTGCTGGACCAAATCCAGAAAAAAAACGCTGGAGTTGGAAGTCCGGCGCCGGACCCTGTAAAAGTGCCGGACTCAAGATCTAGGTATGGCACATATGACCGAGGCCCCCACGTTGTTGAAGTCCCAGAAAAACTAGCTGCTAGCCCAAACTTCGATCATCTGAGCCACATCCATCAGGTAGGATGGGTCCACTATGTTCAACCTTGAAGGGGTCATCTACCCAGAGCTACCTTGGATTAATTTCCTAAGGCTGATGTATTAAAAAAATGTCCCGGCAAGAGACCCCAAACAGTGTGTTTGAGGTCCAGAGGCGCGCAGCAGAAAGTCTAGAGATCGGGTCAAGAGAGGTGATGGTGGTGATGAAGGTGGAGATAGTGGTGATGGTGATGGTGATGGTGATGGTGAGTGGTGGTGATGGTGGTGGGTGGTGATGGTGGTGGATGGGGGGCTCGCTCGCAAGTTGAGAAAGGTCCACAAAGTACTGCATCTGCCATGAATTTGAACTTCAAGGTCCACAAAGTACTGTGCCTGCCATTGCGCCTTCGAAAAATGCGCACGGCACAACAACGAGAGCGCACCTCCGTCAAGCACCGCCCCGGGCCAGCGTTTCGCACAACCCTGCGCAAAGAAATTGCATTTGGAGATCTCAGAACAAAACTTTTCTGCGAGCCTGCGCAGCCCAAACGCACGGGCCCAAAGAGCGTACCCTGAATCAAACCCGGGCTTTTACACTTATAAGAACCCCTCAGTGTGGACACACTGTTTGGGGAAAAACATCATGTCATGAAAATTGCGATGTTTGACCAACACGTTTGGGGACGTTGTGATGGGTGACGCTTCTGACCCCTGAAAAGCCGACCAAAACCCAGCTCGCGGAGATGGTATCACTCCGTCTCACTAGCATGGAAGTGGAAACCACACTAAGGAACAGCGTCATCATGCGTCATCCAAGGGCCAAGGGCCCATTTTTCACTGTTCATTTAAGTGCAAATTCAGACCGTGTTTCTTGAGACGGGAGAGGGACGAAGACGGACCATGGGGTCATAGGGCACTGGACAAAAAAGATATAGAAAAAGAGCGGCCGTGCTTTTTTGCCAGACCATCTTGGCTCCTCCGGATGCTTCTCCAAGGCGTCGATGAATGCTTGCCGTGGCATCTTTAAGCAACTGCAGTATGTGGTCGCCACCACAGTGGCCTCAGGTGGCACGTCCAAGGCCGACTGACGGCGCTCTGCGGTGCTCTGCGGTGCTCTGCGATGCAATCGCCTATCCACGCAGCATTCCGCTGCGCATCCACTCACGCATCACAAGTGTGTTTTTTACTTTTAAGCTTGTCAACTGTCAACCCCTTTTTGGAGTGGACCCAGTTTTCTGAGGGATGGTCAGAACATGTCAACCGCACTGTTCCCACAAAAGGACAGGTTATTTGAGAAAATTTTGGTATATACTGTACAGTAGTATATAAATAACATGATACAACTGTGGTACTTTTGCACATGTCCATCAACTCACCCAATACGTCCGTCCCACGACTTGTGCAAAGTTGGAGTGTAATTATGTTCATTCAATGAGCGTCCCTGATTGCGATCTGGTCTTGTGAAGTCTTTTGGGCATCTGGCTCTGCAAACCAAGCTCATTTTCGACCACCTCTCTCCATGTGACCCGTCTTTGACACCCCCCCAGGATGCATTGTAAAAACTCTTATAACCTCTTCAATATTTCAATATGGGAGGTTATATATGGATATATATATAATATATGGCTATAACTATAATTGGTTATTATATTCATCCCAGATTCCGTCTACGTTCACCTCCGGCTCTGCAGGGAACCGCACCTCCTCCGACCTGCCGAGGTGCCGATCTCAGCAGCACCAGTCCCAACAAGGTGAGCTCACCTCGGTCGATCGGCTCGGTCGTTCTTCGGCACCTTGGGGGGATGGTGGCACGAACACACACGAAACCCATTGACTCGGGTGTTGGGTGGTAGATGGTGGTAGCTCGGTATATACTCTCACCATATATGTGCATATAGCTCACCGGGCAACGCCGGACGGCTTGGGAGTGTCCACATGGGTAAATCCATGTAAATCCCTTTTTGCGACCAGGACAGAGTGGACTTGCCCCGGCATCCCCAGTCAAGCGTATGCATGGGTTGAAGCCAGTTTGAGGATGAAAGTGGCCTCCACTTGACGTGCCAAGCCTTGCAGCGAATTAAACAAAGCACTTCTCCTACCTACCCTGTCATTCAAGCCCAAACCCAGACCTTCAAAGACCATACCGGTGATACACAAGTTGCTTTCCACTCTGCGCATAACATCTAGAAACAGACCCTCGCTGCTCTCCACCCTGTTAAGTTGCTTGGGGACCGTCGTTCGTTGCTTCGGGGGAATTAGCGCAGAAGAAGTGTTTTTGACCCTTGCGGACCTCTGAAGAATTGGTTGTTCAGAACTAAGAGAGGGTATAAAACACGTCTTGTTTTTTTTGCGTTGTTAGTGGCAACATACGAGACCCAAAGGACTATTTCATAGGTTTGTTTGTCTCGCGAGTGGTGAGTGAACGGCCATGGTAAAAGCTTTGTAGACGTTGTAAACCTTTGTAAAATTGTTTGTAATTCAACAACTCTGTCAACTCTTTGCAAAAGTTGCAAACTTTGTACAAATTCTTAAGACTTTGTGAAAGTTTTGTAAACTTTGTATAACTTTGTAAAAATACAAAACTTTGTAAACGTTCTACAAACTGTGTAAATCGTTGCTCTAACTTTGAAGAATAATTTGAAGAACTCCAAAACTTCGTAAAAGGTTTGTAAATCCTTTTACAAAGTTTGCGAATTTTACAACGGCTTAATAAAGTTTTACCAAGTTCTTACACAGTTTTACAAGTTTAAAGGTTGACAAAGCTTACAAAGTTTGACAAAGTTTAAAAATGTTTTACAAAGTCTACAAAGTGTTGACAAAGTTTACAAAGTTTTACACAGATTTTATGAAGTTTGCAACGTTTTACAACCGTTTACCAAGTTTACAAAGTTTTACAAAGTTTACAATATCTTTACACAGTTTGCAAAGTTTTGAACAATTTCCAAAGTTTACCCAGTTTACAAAGGTTTTACCATTAAAAAATCAATTAAAGACGTATTGAAAGTTTTACAATGTTGCTGCAATGTTGACAAAGTTTTTTACAAAGTTACACAGTGTTGCAGAGTTTTGAAAGTTTACAAAGTTTGTACAAAGTTTATAAAATCTTTACACAGATTGCAAATTTTACATTTTTTCATGGAGTTTTTTCAAAGTGTACAAACATTTGCAAACTTTACATAGTTTACAAGGCTTTCACAAAAGTTGCAAAGTTTATACAGTTTACAGAGTTTTTGCACAGCATTGAAAGTTTACAACGATTTTAGAAAGCTTTGGAATTTGACAAAGTTCTTGCAAAGTTCACGGTTTTTCACAGTTTTTCAATTTTTACAGAGTCTACAAAGTCTCACAAAGTGTTTACAAAGTTTTCAAAGTTTTTACAAAGTTTACAAAGTTGTACAACGTTTTTACAAAGTTTACAAAGTTTTTACAAAGTTTACAAAGTTTTTACACAGTTTACAAGGTTTTTACAAAGTTTACAAAGTTTTTACACAGTTTACAAGTTTTTTACAAAGTTTTTTCAAAGTTTACAAAGTTTTTACAAAGTTTACAAAGTTTTTACAAAGTTTACAAAGTTTTTACAAAGTTTGCAAGGTTGTTACAAAGTTTTTACAAAGTTTACAAAAGTTTTCAAGTTTGCAAAGTTGTTACAAAGTTTACAAAGTTTTTACAAAGTTTTTACAAAGTTTGCAAATGGCTGGTGAAAAACACTTATGTTTACAACAAATGACATGAAAAACACTTCTTTTCAAGCAAAAAATCGTGCAAAAACACTTCTTTCACAGAACTTTACAAAGTTTTACAAAGTTTTTACAAAGTTTACATAGTTTACACAGTTTTTACAAAGTTTACAAAGTTTTTACACAGTTTACAACGTTCTGACAAAGTTTGCGACATTTGCCTTTTGTTACACAAATTTACAAAGTTTTTACAAAGTTTACAAAGTTTTGAAGATTTTGGAAAGTTCACAACGATTTTGCCAAGTTTACGAAGTTTTGCAAAGTTTACAGAGTTTCGACAAAGTTTACAAAGTTTTGACGACGATTACAAAGTTTTGATAGTTTATTTCTTTGCAAAGTTTACAAAGTTTCTTTCTACATTTTACAAAGTTTTTACAACGTTTGTACAGTTTCACAATTTGTACAAAGTTTTGAGGAAATTTACAAAGTGTTCAAAGTTTACAAAGTTTTCACAACGTTCACAAGGTCTTTCAAAATGTTTACAATGCTTTGACAAAGTTTACGAAGTTTATATAAAAACGTTTTACAAAGTTTGCAAAGTGCTACGAAGTTTATAACGGTCTTGTTTTTTAAATAGAGTTTACGAAGGCCTACAACATCTAAAAGTTGTTTACAAAGTTTACAAAATGTTAGTACAAAGTGTACAAAGTTTGCAATGTTTACAAACTGTTTGACAAAGTTCACAAAGTTTTGACAAAGTTTACAAGTGTTTACAAAGTTTTGACAAAGTTTTCGCATTTTACAATTTTTTACACAAAGTTTTCGCAGTTTTTTACACAGTTTTACAAAGTGTACAAAGTTTTTACAAAGGTTTACGAAGTTTAAAGTGTTTCAGTGTTTAAAAAGTTTACAATTTTAACAACAGTTTACAAAGTTTTGACAAAGTTTGCAAAATTTGTTCAAAGTTTACAAAGTTTTAGAATTTCACCAAAGTTTCTACAAAGCTTACACAGCTTTTACAAAGTTTACAAAGTATTTACAAAGTTCTTACAAAGTTTACAACGTTTTGCAAAGTTTTCAAAAAATAAAGTTTACAAAGTTTTGACACAGATTGAAAAACAACGAAACTTTGTAGAAAGTTTGTAAGCATCAAAAACTTTTGTAAAAGCTTTGTAAAAACTTTCAAACTCAATAACTTGGTAACAACTTTGTAAAATTCCAAAACTTGTTCAAAGCTTGATAAATGTCCAAAGCTTTGTTCAGATATCTAAAGGTTCAATACTTTGTAAAAACTTCGTTGTTCCAAAGTTTTGTAAAATTCAATGTACTGTAAGTTTCCAAAAACTTTGTGAAATTTGTTATTTCTATCTTTAAACTTTGTAGACTTTGTTAAAACTTTGTAATGCAAAAACTCGGTAAAAAAATTGTAATTCCAAAACTTTGTCAGATTTTTGTAAAGATCCAAAACTTTGTAAACACTTTGTAGGAAGTTTGTTTGAAGACCTGCGAAAGCTGTTCAAGAAGAGCTGATCTTTGGATTAGTGAGACTGCTTGCATTTTTTTGTTTAAAAAAACGGCATTTGGTGCTTGCGCTTTGGGAATTTGTGACTGATGGCTGTAGTGTTTCAGGGTATTGAGGGTGCGAAGAAGGGTCGAATGGTTCTTGGTTGTGCAAGTGTTTTAAGACTTGGCCACGGAAACACCAAAACACTTCTTTCATTTTTTCCAAATAACATTGGTGCAAAACACTTCTTGCGAGCAAAAACACTAAACTCAAGCAACTTAACACTCCACCCCAACGGAAGCGGGAAGTACATATTCTTTGTTGTATTCCATGTGTTGTTTGACACAAGAGACAGCTCGCCAAAAAATTTGGAGACGAGGCACCAAACACATCTCCAGGCGACAGCTCCTGGCTCGGACGCGTTGCCCTGGCTGCGTCGATTTGGGGTGCGACGTGCCAGCACAAGCAGCCCTTGCATGCACCCCCCAGCCCTTTTTGCGTCCAAATCGTCATAAGGGAAAAATGTGTGTTTTTTTCAAACCTGTAGCCTTTGCGTCTTGCTTTCTGAGACACGTCCATTTGGCTCAGGAAAAGAACAGTGTGACCAGACAAACCATCTCAAGAATCTCCTCTTCAGGCTGTTCTTTCCCATTGATGAGCACTGAAGCTTTCCCAGTCGCGACCAGAAACAGCGATCCTTAGCCGATCATATCGCCTCTTTAACAGCGCAAAGACGGCCCGTCGCCCATTCGCAACGCGCAACCGAGCAGATCTACGGTCTACACAAAGGAGGAATTGGGCAATTTCTCCGGCAACCAAAAAGGCCCCAGGCAGTTCCCGCTTCTTTATCCTCTTTTCAATTCACCCATCAAACTGCACACCTTCAGCATGCAGCTGTGCACAGCTGTCCAGTTCCATAGGAGACAAATGAAACAAGTCAAGGCCAGGCCAGCACCAGATTCGAGAACTCGATCTAAAACTCCTACACAAGTTGCAGGGTTCTACCTCTACCAACATGTTACCTTGCAAGTTGACAATGCACTTCCAAAGCAAGTCCTCCAATCCATGGGCACCTTTTTTTCCACCCACCAGCTACTGTACACCCGGAGCCATAGCTGGCAGGAAGACCCACAGGACATACCCAACGTAGACCCTTGAGGACCATAACCCCATTTGAATTGAAACACCTCATCAAAACCGGGGGGGTTATGGTCCTCAAGAGTCTACATCACATCTCACCTGGGAGAGTCGTCCACGCTCCAGTCGAGACTCCCGTCGAGTGAGGAGAAACCTTCGCCACACCGCGAACGGAGGGGTCCAGCGGTCGCCGAGCGACGGAGGGGTCGAGAGGGGTCGAGCGGTCGAACAACCAAACAGGTGCGTGTTCAGGCCGAAGGCGGTCAGAACAGGAAAGTAGTGGAGGTGAGAAGGAGATGGTCAACCCTGAGCAATTTTAGCCTTCGAAGAGGTAGAAGAAACAGATCCTATTGTGCTTGGCATTGACCCACGTGTCCATCTAAGCGACTAACTTAACTTCGACAAAATCTCAGCCAGGCTCGATCATCAATGGCCGCTTGGACCAAAATTGTCTGGCCAGGCTTGTAGGCGCGTCTGTGGATGCACTCGCCGATGTCATGGATAAAGCCTCTGATAGGCACATCATCATGTTTCAATGCGTATTGGGTTGGAGGCCATCGCTATTAGGTTGAAGGCCATCGAGTAGGTTGGAGGCCATCGCTATTATGCTGCATGTTCATTCTTGCATTTTGATGCACTTGGCCTTTTTCCTCCTGATCATCGTTCGTTTTGCCTCCAAAAACAAAGCCCCTAGCTGGCCCCATACGTCTTTCGAGGCAAACTCATGCCATCTTGGCAGTGCGGTGCTTGAATTCAGATGTTCTTTGGGGGACAGGCCTGCACTTGCCAAGCTCGTGATGCCATGATATACCCGCACGTCAGAGTTCGGCACAGATACAATCATACACGTATCACCAAGGACGAAAGCACTTGACCAAATTCCTCTGCTGACCTTCTTGTCAACAAGCTAGAATGTGATCAGTCTTTCTTGTTGCTTTGCACAAATGCTTTCGCTCGTCGAATCTTCTATCATCTTCTATCAAATCTTAAAAAAGGCGGGTGCTCTCGACAGGTGTGTATAAGGGTATATATTATATCACTTAGACTTCTTGATTTCTTGTTGAGTTGCAGCTTTATTTAAAAGAACAGAAGGGGGGGGTGAGGGGGGGGGATGTGAAAATGCATATTGTAGAAACGCGCGTTTTTTGCACTCTCTACTTCAAAGCCTTCTATCTGCTGCTGAAATGCTGAAAATTACAATATAAACAAGCAATCTCTCTTGCATTGATAGGCTTGTGAAAGTTGTTCTTTTGTAAGGTTTTGTTCTTTATGGTGAATGATATCTTTTTGATAGGGTTGTGAAATTTGTAAATTTCCTGCTCTATATGCAATTGGTTTGCTCCAGATGGCCAGAACCTCGAAAAAACAAAAAAACGAAAAAACAAAACTGCAGACCACATGTCCACAGAGTCAGACAAGAGCCCCAATGGGCTCTGCAGTTTTGTTTTTCGAGGTTTTTGCATGGTTTGCTTTGCTGTATACTGTTGTTATCACATCAAATTGCCCTTCACTCTGCGAAATCCATGTAGAACCCTTCAAAACCTTGCAAAATGAAAATTTTCACATCCCCCCCCCTCACCCCCCGCTCTCTAAAAGAAATGGTACTCACCAGCCCACTCTGCTTTCTAGATGGGCATGAAGGATGAAGTTCCTTCAATCATCGATGCACTATGATGAACCTTTGCAGTTGCTTTGAGGTTTTGTCCCCGAACATCCCCCAACCTCCCAAGCCACGGAGTCCAGACCTCACAGTGATCAAGCCTTCCAAGAAGCTCTGCCCACAGCCACGGAAGAGTTTCATGTACTTGGCGTAGTGGCTCATGTCCTCTCGCCCTTGGTCCGTCCGGTCCAAGCTCCGGAAGTAGGCGCCTTCCTCAGTTTGGGGATGCCACGGGGAACCGCCAGGAGTATGTGGGTTCATATCGTGGGGAAATTCTTCCAAACATTCTTGGGGCCATCGCTATAATGCAAGGTTTTGTCGTTTTCATGTTGTGTCCATTCGAACACAAGGGACCAAGGGACTCTTTTGGGGCATGGAAGATCTGCTCCAACCTGGTGCCTTTTTCGCTGTCCATCGAACAAAGATCTGTACCGCGGTCCACGACTCGAGTCCAACCCGTAAGGAGGAGTCGTAATCCCGACAAAGGCCTTGGAAAACGGCGCCCAAGGGGCTGCGAGGCGGTCACGATGACAAACCTCTGCCTCAAAAAATTGATGATTGATTGATGATTGAATTGTTTTAAACCCTAAACCCTTTTAAGGAATGATCCCATGGCGAAGCCATAGAGTTCGGACGTTCCTGGCTTTTGTGGGACTCGTGGTGACCAACGCACCCTGTGGCCTGGCCGGTGGTTCTGGTTAAGGGACCCTGCCTCCGCACCCTGTGGGACCTACACCGGCACCCTGTGGGACCTTCCGTGACCCTGCAAGAGCCATCCAAGCATCAGTAGGATAGCCATCGTTCATGATGTTCTCGAAGGAATGGTGTGGGATCCACAGCATCACCAAGAGGGGCGTCGCTGCACGGAAGGTGGCCTGTATTTTTGCCGGAGTGCAGTCTCCACCACCAAGGCCCGGTCCCAAGTCAGTCAGTGAAAAGACAGTTTAAGTGAGAACAACACACCCACATCCCACTCACCCACATCTAACGCACGTGCAGACCGAACTACCAAGGCACGGCTCTGCCGCTCTGCCCGACCACCTAAAACAAATATGATCCCATCCCCATGTGCATCTGGGAGCCCGGCACCTCAGCCTGGTCCCTTCATCGACTGAGTCTCGACATGACCGATACCAAAAGCCTCCGCCTCTGCGACGTGGCTCATCCCCAGGAACATCGACTCACCCAGCAGAGTTCCCACATCAGTGAGGGCCACCATGCCTTGTGGAACGCCCGTCAGGCCAAGCCGGAACGCGGCCAATCACGCCATTGGTCGGAAGGAACGAACCCAAATTGACTCGTCTTTTCTATACCTTTCGTTTAGCAAATGTAAGAAGAACCTCATGAGACCTCTCCACTGATTCTCCAAGATGTGGAAAAAAAGCGATAAAGGCATTGTTTGTTTGCACAAACACATGTGCCAAAACATATGGCCCAAATCTGTTGTAGAAGACATCTGAATGAATCTGTCGACTTCTCATCCTTGCCTTCGCGGTTGGTCTCAACCCGAACTTTGCCAAACTCTTGCACTCGCAAAGTCCGATCCGTGCTGCCCTCTTCCTGGGCACAGACTTCGACTCTCCAACTTGCTGGATTCATGATTCCACCTGTTCTACCACAGATCAAACTGCAAACAGGATAAAACGGGGGTGCTTTTTAGACGACTTTGCCACTCATTTCGTAAACGCTGGATGCTTGGCTGGTCGCTTAAGGTTTGTAGGGCGTGACAGGTGAACCATTCAAATTAAGTTCGGAGAGTGTTCACATGCGGAACACGCTCTCGCCCTGTTCCTGTTCTCGAGCATGTCTCTTCTCAGCCATCGGGCCTTGAAAACATCTCCCAAGAAGTTCATCTTCCGCTCGGTGATGTTTGCTAAGGAGCGAATGAAAGCGGGGTTCAAGCCTCAGCATGGAGAATGGGCAAGGGACGCGGCCAAGCTGCGACCCAAGGGACTCTTGTTGACTCGAACAACTGAAATCAGGAAAAAAAAAACACTCACTGACTGGTCCAGATAAATCCAAACACATCCAGGCTCATCCAGGATTTTTGCCGTTTGTATCCGTTCGTCCGGAATCATGCAAGAGATTCTCTGGAGAATTCTGCAAATAATAAGTATCAGTCAGTATACGTGGTAACTATGGATATGGGGACGTGTCGCACTTGAACACATTTCGACCAGGGTTCTGGTACCCTCTGCTTAATGCGATGAAGCTTTGAGTGGGTTCCAAACCAAAGGGCCCTCTGACCTGGAAACGCTAAGAAGGAGAGTTGCATCTTTCGACAAAAGCCGTGTCAGCTCTACAGAAACTGGCACACGTGTGCCCCTCCTCGGAGGGTTCACCCCGACCACGAAAGTTTGGGATTGTTGACCACCGCACGAAAGATGTTTGCACTCCCGAAGACTATACCTGCAACGACTTCCAAGGGACCTCAGGTAAACAGAGTAGACCCCCAACATCTGGGGTATGCCACATTCTAGACCCTAAGTACTTGAGGGCATCGAAAACGATACACCCGGGTCGGTTGATCTGACGTGCTTTCTTCGGCGACAAAGGTTCCGTCGGACTCGAACAGGGCAAACACCCACTCCAATCCCGATGAAAACGCTTCACCGTTCAAGCCACCATAGAAGAGCTTCATGCTTGCTAGCACATCCGTAGGCCTGGAATATTGGAGCATCGAAGCAGCAAGATCGATGCAGCAGAGTTGGGAGAGTTGGTTGCCCCCTAGGGTGGTTGGCACATGTTGGCACATACTGACGTGACCTCAGTAGATCGTGCAGTCTTCGCAAGAGGATGCCAAAGCTCTTTTTCTGAGCCAAACAAGTCGGACAACTGTGGGTCTGACGGACAACTGCGACCCTGGTGAAGTATCAATGCGATACTGGCAGCACTAAAAGAGGTGGCGAAAAAACAAGGGTGGAGGTCACCAGGTCCACGAACAAGCAAAAGGGGCTCTCGCAGCCACTTCGGTTTTCCAGCAATCTCGAATGCCTAAGTCGTAGGCAAGGTCCAGCAGCCAACTTATGGCGGCACAGGCGGAAACAGTAGCTAGGGGCGATGTGTCATCGCCTTGGCAAAAGGAATTCCTGAAATCAAAAGCGGCGGGACTGACCGGTGTCAACATGATCATGCCTCTCATGCAAATGGCTCAACTTCTGAAATGGGCGAAAGGTTTTTGACAAAGGTCGGTCCCTTCGCTGGATGAATTCCTGCCAAGTGCAGTCAGGCTCTAACTCAACCTCAGACATGTCGTCCAAGCGGTCATTCATGACCTTCGGCTTCTTCTTCGCTGCCGTGAACTGAGGGTCATACTTGACGTTCCAGCACTGACCACGGAGCATGAACAGCCTGAACTGGTCCTGGGCGGAGGCTTTGGTAAGGCCATCTGCTAATTGAGCTTCCGATGAAACCCAGAGCAATTGCGTGTCTTGTCGGACCATGTTCTCGCGGATGGCGAGAAGTTCAAGAGCTGAATACTTCTCCTTGAGGCTGAATGCCGCAGAAGCACCTTCGCCTTTGTGGTAGGCATCAAAGGCAGACTTGGCGTCTATCACCAGTGCGCTCTTCACCAGCTTCGTCGACTGCTCTGGACACCTGGGGTTGAAAGGATGTCCAAGAAGCTCGCTCCACAAGGCACGGCAGAACAGCACCTCCTGCTCGGCTTCACCAAGTGCCTGGAGCTCTGCTGAAAGGGAGCTTCGAGCGGTGCGATGTAGCTTCCCACTTCGCCAAGCAATCAAGTTCACAGGCGAGCGAACACCGGACAGGATTTGCTGATGGCATAGTCCAACAACATAAGCTCCTGTACTTGACAAGTCTGGCCGATTGGCCACAGCAGCATCGGACCATCCGATGATCACCAGCTCTGAATCCGAGGCGGCTTCCAGCTGTTGCACCTTTACTGACAAGCCACGTTGTGCAAACACTTCACGGACCAACTTGTTGATCTGCACCAGCACGTCCTTGGACTCTTTTCCATGCGGAAGCATGGATTGAAGAAGTGAAAGCTTTGCCGCGTGCTGCGGCGCTGTTTGACTCACTCTCCATTGGATCGCTCCAAGAACTGCTTTGGCTTGCGACAGTTCAGAAGGTGTCACATGGGAGCAGGACTTGTCAATCTCGATCTGCTTGATCTGCGAGGCATATTGCTCGTGGCTGAGGTTGAAGCCATAGTTCGCCTGCTGATGTACTTCGACACCACAGTGAATGTAGGGATCAGGTTCCCACGGGCTCCACTTCAAAGCTTGGTGGAAGGTGGTGAGCGTTTTCATCCATAGCTCATTGCTTTCATTGCCGGTCACGATGAAGTCGTCGACGTGACTGGCCAGAACACCTTGAACCACCCCTTGAGCATCTTTGCAGATCCAAACGCAAGGTTCGCACACCAGGCGGATCAGGCCACACTGAGTCGTGGCGATGCGATCGACATCTCTGTACCACTCACGTGGTGCGCTGACTAGCCCGTAGGCTGCACGAAGAAGGCGTACAGCTTGGCCTTTAGGAACTTGTAGTCGATCACCAAGCTCATCAACTGGAAGTGCAAACACATCGCGAGATTTCTGAGACTCGGAGCCCTGCAAAAATGCTGCCTTCACGTCGGCCTTGAGCGTTCGCCATCTTCTATGGCAAGCCAGGTTGAGGATCAGCTGGCGGCTGCGTCTTGCCAGTGTGGGAGCGGCCTTGTCCAAACTTTCGCCATCAGGGTCAGAGAAACCCAAAATGACTATTCTTGCTTTGGCCTTGACCATGCCAGCTTTGTCAGGATCCTCCATGCTCTTGAACACTAAGACCCATCTCATCTTCATGAGCCTGGACTTGGGGACTTGCATGCCAGCCTTTTCCACCACCTTGTTGATGACCCAAGAATCCACCTCCAAACGCTTTGCCTCCATCATAGCTTGTCGCTGAACTGCGTTCAGTTTGTGCCAGGCAATTTCACAGCCCTTTTGCACTGATTTTGCTGTGAATTTCTTTGGGTCCTTGAGGATGCGTCGCCATTCTTCCTCAGTCTGAGGAGCTTCAATGACCACGGACATCACCATGTCATTCGAGGGCTCGGAGCACCAGCCAACCAAATCAGGGTTTTGGTACTTCTTTGGAAATTTGGCATGATGTGGCCGATCTTCTTGTTCATGCTTCCTCCGAGCTTGCTTGAAGCTTGACTCAGGCATAGACGCATCAGAACTTGGATCAGGTGGTTGGAGAGAATGAAGTGGCATGTACTGCGGGTCGTCCAAAAGACGTTCAATGTCCAGTTCATCACTGTCGTCAGGGTGCATCCCTTCTCGAAGGGTAGGATCCATGTGGACATCACCATCATCAGGTACCAGCTCTTCAGATGACTCGCTGGCGCCGGAAGGAGTGTACTCAAGGTCGTCCTCAGTCTCAATGGCCTGTCGCTTTGGCAGCGGTGGGCGAAAGGTTTGTTTCCTCTTCAGCTCAAAACGTTCTGCCCTGGATGAGGTGAGATCTTCAAACGAGCCCTTTTGCAAGGAACTCGTTAACATGCTAAAGGTCCAGGGAGTAGCCATAGTGTTGGAGGCATTGGCAATGATCAACTCACGTTCACTTGCATGCCTCAACTGGTCCATGTGGGTCTTGAGAAGTCGCCCACAGCTAACCAGCCACACTCTGCTCGAAGGTGCACAGATGGTACCAGTCTCATCTCTTCTTGTCTCTGAAGCGAGGACACGAGCAGGGCCAAACCATCTGGCAATCCTCATCCTCGGCATATCGACATCTGCATTCGAAGGTGCCCTCCGGGGCGTGCGATGTCTCAGGTAGTACACCAGGTCGCCGGGGATGTACTGCTTCACTTTCTTGCTCCTGGAGTTCTGAGCTCTTGACAATCTTGCTGAGGCAGTCAACTTGTTGTGGAGATGTTCAGCTTCAATGCGCAAACGAAGGTTCTCAGCCATTTGATGACCAGGAGTGGCCTCAGAACAAGATGCTGCAACATTCTCCTTGGGGTTCTCTGAGCGGCCAAATGCCCATTGAGCAGGAGCATAGCCACCAACTCTAGTGACGTGGTTGTGAGCTTGAACCATGGCATAGGCTGCCCTCTTTGGAGACACTGGCTCATTACGAAGGAAAACTTCCATCTTGTGGCGTAGTTCACCAATTCCTCCCAGTTGAAGAGTGATGTTCGGCTGGAGTGTGGATCATATCAACGCCTCTATCCGCGCACCATTGAGCCAGTGCAGTTCCTCTGAAAGCTCCCTCAGCGTCACAACGGAGTTTGGAGGGATACCCAAAAATCTGGCACCAACTCTCTTCCAAGGCCTCGATGGCCTCGCCAGTCGCCACGTTCTCGGACTGGTCATCAGCATGACTCTTGATCTCTTTCACCACGGCAAACGAGCTGGCCTCGTCCATGAAGAGGATGTAGTGGTACACCCAGTTGGCATGTCGGAAGTAGAACCCATCCATTTGAAGAGTTCGCCACAAAGTTTCTTCACGCTCAGTGGAGACCTTGGTGAGCGGGATGGCTGTCTGGCTTTCAAGACATTCGGGGCACTTCAACTCCATCACGGCAGCCTTCAGTTCTTCACTGGCACCTCGGGCTTGAAGAAGTTTCAACATGGCTCGGTTGTTGGGGTGTCCACAAAGACGGTGTAGCTTGAGGGCGGATTCCATGAGGCGCTGTAGCTCCAAGGGAGTCATGCGAGCCAGTGCTTCCTTTTCAGGCTCTTGGACAGCACCGATCATCTCTTTGTCCTTCAGCATGCCTTGAGCTGCAAGTCGACAAAGTTGAGGGGTATAGTATGCTGACTGCTTTGCACGTTGCCCCAAACAAGGAACATGGTGATGTGAATCATCACATTCTCTCTTCAAACTTATCAAAGCATGGGGCGAGGTGCACATGAATCGCCAGGGCTTCTTCACAGGACCATCTTCAGAAGAAAGCCCAAACATGCAGCCATCTCCAAGAACTTCATGAGCTCGGTTCACTTCAGCGAGCTCTGCCCAAAAATGCTCAACTTCAGGAAGCCTCCAGGCTTTGTTTGACTTTGGCCATTCCCAAGCAATTTCTCCACCTTGGGCCAAGTGTGCGCGTAGTACACGAAGTCCTCCACGCAGAACCTTTCTCGCATGCCGCTTTCGGTAGCGGCTTTTGATCATCCCTTCTTCAGTTCTTTCGTTGAGGGCCTGAACAGCCGAAGTCGGGCCACATGGAAAGCTAGCCCAAATCCACCGAGGTCGATGAAGTCGAAGTAGTTCCAAAGTTTTCTCCACACCTTCTTCTTTGGTCAGGTCACATTGGTTGTGCAAGCCTGCACGGCCACCGTAACCTCCAGCTGCATGCACGGCCTGGATCAACAAGCTTTCGGGGCCGCAACATAGTTCGAGCACGTCCCAGTGCTCTCTTGCAGCAATGCCTCCATGAGCCAGGAAGATCTCGTCATTCTCCATCACCAGCTCATTCATAGCTTCCCAAGCAAATGCTGCATCTTTGTCACTCAGCCGAGTGTCATAGGGGATGTCCTCCTCAAAGTTCTCCATGGCAGGTGTTTCAAAGGACTTGCCATCGGTCATCACCGGGTCATTCTTGAAAAGGTGGGCATTCGGTGGAACTTTGACATTCGGAGGGACCTGAGCATTCTTGAGGAAGCGGACATTCTCAGAAGTCAGGTCATTCGAATTCAACTGGTCATTCGATTGGATGGCATTGTCTTCAAACATGTTGACATTCTCAGTAGCGCCATCCTTGACCAGGGCCTCATTCAACTCGATGCGCCGGTTCGCTTCTCTGGAGATGTCACGGTCGACCACGAGCGATCCTCCCGGTCGGCGTACTCCACCTCCTCTGCTGGCCGCTCGTTGCGGCGGGATTTGCTCCCAGGAACCATGGAGAGAAGTTCCTTGTCTGTCGGAGCTGGACTTGGCACATACTCCTCCTCGTCGTCGGGGATCTCGACCACTGAGCTTGGAGTCCGAGGAACAGGAGTCTGATTGCTGCTGGGCGCTGTGGTCTCGTTGGAGTCGGGAGAGCGAGGTGCATATCCCGCTGCCGCCTTGCGAGCTCTGATGTTGTCCAGCTTGCTCATCAGCGAACGTTCTGCTCCATCCAATCCCACCGCCTGAGTGCGAAGCAACGGGTTGTATGGAGCTTTTTCTTTGAGCTCCTCCACCTGTCGACGAGTGTCCTCTGGGATCGGACCTGCTTGTCGATGAAGTCCTGTCGCCCCGAACGCCGGGGTATAGGACAGGCGAAGCTGGCAGCGCTCGCACCCCACCCATGTCGCATGTCCATTGCTCCCTGACACACTTCCACGGTATGCTGCTGCTGGAGTGTGGTTGCCCCAGCAAGGAGCTCCGAGGGTTCGAGGATCCCTCGGATCTGCAGCCACCGTGCGACTCTCGTCGTACTTCTCCTCCCAGGTGGCCAAGGACTTGGTCTTCTTCTTGTCCATCTTGTCGCCCTTGCCAGAGCTCTTGGAGGGCTCTTCGATCTTTGCCTTGGCTTTCGCCTTCGCAGCAGCTGCTTGCGACATGGCTGACCGAGTTGATGAGGGAGGCAGTCGATGCAAGGATGGCCAACGCCTTCCAAGACATAGCCGTTCTTTGAGCCTCTGTGTCAACGGCGGTGGATGACGAAGAGTGATCATGTACTCCAACATGTTCATGACGCACTGCAAAACACTGTGACAAAAACTCTTCCGCGTGAGGTTCATCAAGACTCTCAAAAATCTCCAACTCATGAGGGGCAAGAAGAGAGGAAGGAGTGCAAACAAAGGAATGCTCATGCCGATCATGGTGCACATGCCGTTCATGAAGACTGTCACCTTCACATACCTCAGAACCTTTCTCAACCATGAAACACGACGGGCTGCCAGGCACATATTGCTGCTTTCCAGAGAGCTCTTCAGTGAAAAGAATCTTGGTACCTTGACTCAACCAATCGTGAGTGAGGTCCATGAGAAGGTGACCGGATCCACTCTGTTTCAGCGGAACCAACAAGGATGCATCGATGGCCGTGAGCACCATCGCTGAACGTGAAGTATCGATGATTGCTCCAAGTCGGGTGAGGGTTTTGATCCCCACCAACACTGGAACTCCATTGGCCTCTAGGGTGTAGATGCCAAGTGACAAGCTATGCTCACCAAGCCGCTGAGGCAGCAAAATCAAAGATTCAGACTGCTGCGTCATTCCATTTCCAAACTTGAAGGTCTTCTGGGGCACATCGACGACCGTGAAGTCGCCAGAAGAAGCACCTGCAGCAGCACGCTTGTGCATGATCCATTCCAAAGCGCTCAGGCCACAGACAGTTTCAGTAGCTCCAGTGTCGAGCACACCGAAGCCTTCCATCTCGGGCGAACTGACTTCACCCACCTTCATGACACTCAAGGGCCTTTCAGGCTCGGACCAGGCGTGGAAAACAAAGGTCTCCTCAAGCTCTTGCGCCTCCTCAACCATGAAGACCTTTCCACTGCCAAAACCTTTTCCACTCTTTGAGCGCTTGGGACAAGAGCGAAAGTCGTGATCTTTTGCCCCGCAAATGAAGCAGCCTGAGTACGAGGGAGACCCAGGCTTTCCAGCACCATGCACTGCCAAAACAGGGGATGCCGTAGATGAAGACGAGAAGGTAGGACGGGCATAGCCTTTACCTTTCTTTCCATGACCTTTGCCCTTCCATTTTCCTTTCGGAAAGAAACCTCTGCTAGCTTGTTTGGCAGCATGAGCACGTCGACTGTCTTGGAAGGTCCTCATCTTCTCTTCGTAGGCCGCATAGGCCTCAACCACGGGCTTGGCTTCATCAGGTGAACTCCACAAAACTGAGTTCCAAGCTTCGGACTCACTCCATGACCAGAAAGCTCCATTGACGTCCTGGTGGTAGTACTCACCATCACTTTCCAAATTCCACCAGACGTAGGCGCCTGGTAGTTGAGGGTCTGCGGCAAAGAAACCATCTTCTTGGCCATAGCGGTCCTCAGTGTCAGGTCTGGACGATGGAGTGGAGGGAGTTTCCCAAGCCGGAAAGGCCTGTTCCATGGCATTCGTTGAGAGCCAGTGGACTTCATTCTGTTCCAAGATGTCCTCAGTATCAGCTTCCTCCGTCAGGAGAATGCCCCATTGGTCATCTTGCTCGATCCAGAAGGTGTTGCGACGCTTTCCTTTCGAATGCCCTTTCGGACGTCCTTCACGCTCTCGCTCAACCAAACGAAGCTCATCTTCAGCTCCTCGTAGGCCACGTTCAACATCTTCTGCTTTGAGCGAGTTCCCCATGCTTGAGAGCACATTCAACCGTTGAGCTGCATTGAGGGCGGACTTCCTCAACATGATCCAACCGGTCAACTCTGTGGGCAACACTTCTGGAAGGCCGAGGTCAAGATCATCCCACAAAGTTGAGAAGTCTTCATCTTCACTGCTGGAACCTCCCGAGCCTCGAGAACCTCTGAAGGGAGAACCATGGTCTTTGGTCTTGCCTTTGCCACGACTCTTAGGAGATGAAGCCGGTCGTGAAGGAGACTGGGGTCCCTCATCATCTTGCGCTGGTTCTTCGTCAGTATCATCTTCTGCAGCTGGTTCAGGGCCTGACCGTGCTCGTGACGAAGCATGTGAAGGAGCCGCACCATCATCCTTAGGATCTGGTAGATCTCCTCGAGCACGACGTAGGGCCCGCTGCAACTTCCTGTAGGCTTCTCGAACCTGATGGCACCAGGTGGCCATGGAGGTGCCTGGAGTTCTCCTCAATCTCAACAGCAGGTTCTCGGCTTGGGAGCCTGCATCAGGAATTGGCACTCTGGCCAATCGTTCCTCCAAAAAGGTGATCAAATAGCGCGCTCCTCCAGGCTGGGTCAAAAGCCGATGGTCTATCTCTTGAGTGACTATCCATGCTCGGCCGGATAGTTGTGACACCAATTCGGGTCCAAGCTGAGGTCGGCGCCGTTTCCTGGTCTTCTCATAGGCCAGGCGAACCTTGCGGACATAGTCTGGCCAGGAACTGAAATCTCCGTCCCAATGGCAACGAAGGGACATGTCCTTGTCTTTATCAGCCATGGTCTTCACCTAGACAAACTCAAAAATCTAGTCAAAGGCAAAGGGGTAGGATGCAAAGGACCAAGCTAGGAACAAAGCGCTAGGTAGACCTCCTCAAGGAAATAGTGCTAGCAAAATGCCACACCAAGAACTTGTAATCGAGGCGTTCAGTGACTCGTGCACTGAGACACACCCCAATCGCGTGCAACCAGTCCGCGACCTTGCCCTGGATCTCCTCAAGACTCGTGCAAGGAAGGCCTTCTCCGATCGTGATCTCTCGAAGGCCACGGAGCAATGAGGTAGCTCCGCTACCAGTATCAATGCGATACTGGCAGCACTAAAAGAGGTGGCGAAAAAACAAGGGTGGAGGTCACCAGGTCCACGAACAAGCAAAAGGGGCTCTCGCAGCCACTTCGGTTTTCCAGCAATCTCGAATGCCTAAGTCGTAGGCAAGGTCCAGCAGCCAACTTATCGCGGCACAGGCGGAAACAGTAGCTAGGGGCGATGTGTCATCGCCTTGGCAAAAGGAATTCCTGAAATCAAAAGCGGCGGGACTGACCGGTGTCAACATGATCATGCCTCTCATGCAAATGGCTCAACTTCTGAAATGAAGTGGTGTGGCCTTAGGATGAACCGAACGGGTATGGCCGGAACGAGCGTGTGAAACACACCGAACAGCCACAACCTGTTGGGGTGGTTATGAGACCAGGGTTTTCTGGCGATGTTCCTTGTTCCCCAAGAGTCATTTTGTAACTAGCCATGATACCTTCGAAACTCATGCGCAACTGCTGCAGAAACTGCTAGAATCACTAGAACACATACACGCTTTGGATGTTTTTGCTTGCCATCAAGCCTGGTCAGACTTCTTTGCAAGATCGCTGATGCTTCCCTGCAGCGCGAGACGTAGATTGAGGTCAATCCTGGGAACGAACAAAGATCCGCATGCTGCATCGAGGTCCAATCGGAAACACTGTGCCTTATACATTGAATGGGTGGATAGTGATAGCGATTGCCCGAGCATAGTTCTGCAATTGGTTTAAGAACATGTGACAAATTGTGAAAATGTATAGATAATACACACATATATATATATATATTATAGAGATATAATATACTATTGTAAATCGAACGCCTCCCACAAAAGGAACCAAACCAAGAAAAGAACATTTCGAACACCTTGCCTCACCTAAGAGCCTGCTTCATCAAACAGAAGGGGAAGAAACTAGGTCAGCATCGCCGTTTGACAGGTCCAAGGCTCCGGGATAACAAGCCATGACATCCAAGAGTTTCCTGCAGTGATGCGAAGCGCGTTTTCAACACGGTCTGGGGTGGCACATTGAAATTGTGTGGGAAACGGAGGGCCAGGGCCAGAACCTTATGCCCCCCGATGTAAAAGGGCCAAGTGACTCCACTCTCTGGTTCGAGCCTGCAATTCATTCCTGAGGTTCGACATTGGTCTGCGGCCACAGACCAAGGCTAAATGATCGAATTGAACCATGGAACAATATGGTCAGTTTACACGCTCCATCATCGAATAGTCACAATACACAGAAGGACCCTCACAATCCACTGTCTGGCAACTAGATGGGAAACTAAACAACTAATATAATGAATGGGGCCAAAGGGCCTGGCTTTGCTTAAACAAAGAACGCAAATACTTTACGTCGAGTGATCCCCATCGTGACTTCATGCCGTTTGTTTGCGGCTGTGTGTTTGTGTGTTTGCGATTGTGGCCGTGCTTGTGGCTGTGTTTGCGGTTGTGTGTTTGTGGCTTGTGTGCTTGTGGTTGTGAACTTCTGGCTGCGTTTGTGATTGTGCTTGTGGTGCTGCTTTGTGTTTGTGTGTTGCGGCTGAGCTTTGTTGGCTGTGTACTGTGTCTTGTGTGTTTGTGTGGTTGTGTGTTGAGGTCCGGTAGTGCCCACTGTGATCTGGCACTTGCGGTTGAGGTCCGGAAGTGCCCACTGCGATGTGGCTAGTGCCCACTGCGATCTGGCACTTGCTGTTGAGGTCCGGTAGTGCCCACTGCGATCCGGCACTTGCTGTTGAGATCCGGTAGTGCCCACTGCGATCTGGCGCTTGTGGTTGAGGTCCAGCAGTGCCCACTGCGAACTGGCACTTGCGGTTGAGGCGGCAGTGCCCACTGCGCTCTACCACTTGCTGACGAGGAGGCGGGAGGAGGAGGCGGGAGGAGGAGGAAGAGGAGGAGGAGGAGAGCTCTGATAAAATCTAACAACCGTTACGTGGCAGGTGGGGAAAAACGGCAGCCTCCTGAGGGTGTCTTCACTTGGCTTTTTATTCTAAGCTCCACAGCTCACTGAGATTACAGCACTGCCACCGGCAATTGGAGATAAGGTCAGGAGTACAGCACTGACAAAATGTCTACCAGGCAGAGAGATAAATTGTGTTTGTTTGTGTTTGGTTACAATCTGGGATCATCTTCAACATATTCTGGGGGAATGCAGAGTAACCTGAGATCCAAATACCTCCCGGGCAACCTGCGATACTCAAGACATCTCAAGACACTGATGTGCAGTCCTTGATGATAGCTCGATGACTTCCGTGGCTTCATATGCCTAGTCTCGTGCTTTGTGCCACACAAAGAAGAAAGAACCAACGAGTGCTCCGTCACTTCTCAGTGGACCCACCTGTTAGAGTTCCCACGGATCCGGCCGAAATCGGAGTGGTGGGTCGACCAGGTATGACCAGGTATGATCAGTAGGCAACGACTCAACGAAGCAATCAAGGAAAGAGACGTGCCGTTGAACCGCCCGCAACAACGAAAAAAAATACAACATCCAAAGAACCGATACCGGTACCGCAAGAGGTCATTGGAAAGAACAGAACCCATGCATGTGGAAATAAAACGTATTTGAGTGCAGGCAGCTTGCGATCACTGAGGCCTGCCGTGAGATCCAGGACTCGATAAAAAGCACGTCACCGATCATCGCGCCTAGCGGCTATAGTGGATGCAACGAAGGACGAGAAAGGCGTCCCGGCCCGAAACATAAATATCAAATATGTATGTATATATATAGTTATAGTATTGTATACTTTATATGAAATTATGTGAGACGAATTCGAATAAATACAACATAGAGAGAGAGAGAGAGATAAACAGTTTTTGCTGTTCTCTCTATCTTGGGGTCACTCAGTATGGAAGACCATCCAACAACAAAACATATCCAGTTCTCCGGAAACTGTTCTACGGCTCAACGCATTTCCGTGTGATTTAGTTGCAGTTTGCGTCAATCCACAAACAAATGGCCCAAAAGGAGATCGGCGCAACAATCACGAATCCTTTGGCTTTGAGATTTTGAGCTGTTTTGAGTGAGACTTACTTTGACGTGCTTAAAACGTTTGTTCACCATGTTTCACCCGCACACCACACAGCTGTTGTTTGATCCAGACACCTGGGTACAAGCGCGCTATCTTGAAAGGCTGGGCTTCCAAGAGCTTGCCATCGAAGAGGATCTTGTTTACATCTGCAGATCCCTTTGAGAGCACCAGCAAAGACCTGTCAGCGACATCTTTACATGCGATCAGCCTTGAACATCCTTCAACTCCAACAGTGGAAGTTCGACAGCTACTATGGTGCCCCAAACTTGCTTGCCAGCCCCACGGAGTGGTTTAAAGAAACAAACTTGACTCCGTGACGCCGGGGCCGAGCGAGGTCACTCCACCCATGGGTTTCTCCTGGCTGATGCTTAGGGACCCAATAGAGAGTCCGTTGGATCCATGTCGTCATTCCCGACGAGTCGCTTCTCGCGTCAGTTTGAGAGATCCCCCAGGGACGGCCCCACAGTCTGAGACAGCGCAGTCGGGCAGCTGCGCAGTCTGCCGGCAGCCGCGCGGAGCAACATCTGTGGGGAAGTACCGATATGTGCAACAAGGGGCGGACGGATGCCTGGATGGTAGCCTTCCTTCTACACGACTTTGTCGGATCAACTGAGCGGATTCTGACCGTTCTCAAATAGGATCAGTGATACTGCGATCAGTGACGTCCACATGCCTAGAACCAAGGATTCCCATCAATCACATCCAATCCAACTCCCATTTCGCTGAGATGCTCGACGGAATCACAGTCTCCTTCTTCCACGATGAGATCTCCAGCAGCGTAGCTTCGCAGCTCGCTGAGGGATGCCAGCATCCAAGTGACCTCAATTGAATCCCCTTTTTCTGCATTTGGCCCTCCTTCCGCGCAGCACACGAACAAATATACAAGCCAGTTTGCAGCCTTTGTCGATATGCCAAGTGTAGCTTTGACACATGATATACTTGTTGAAAGCCCCTTGGGTAAAGCCCCTAACTAGCTCTAAATTCAGGAGTTGTCCGGCCCATTTGCTCCGCCGAGGCACTTCTAGAGGAACACTTGGAAATGCTGAAAGCCGGATCAAGGTCTCATATCGATACCGAACCTGGGCGCGTGTCATCACTCCAAGGGCGTTTCACAAACCCAGACACACGGCAGGAGAAGCAGTTGATCCTCTCCAAGCCTTCAAAACTCGTTTAATATATATATATATGTCATTATATGTCACTATATGTCAATCCTGTTCGGTCTTTTCATGTGTCAGTCAGTGCATTCAAGAGGCCGCTTGTTGATTCTCTTCAAAGATCTCCATTGACTGGGACCGTGCAAAGACGTCATGAATCCGCTCCCGAGAGATGCATGCCAGCTTGCATAGACCAGCCCTCATGCCAAATCCAAACAGCGAAGCAAAAACTTACGTTCTCGCTGCTCTCTTAATGGTTCACTGGCTCTCACTGGCTCCCTGTCATGTTCACACATTTTGACCATTACTGGTATGCCAAGATATGTCAAGTGCAAGCTCTAGACTCAGCTCGAGATTATGGACTGACCAACAGGAAGGAAAAGGAATTCTCACCACTGAGTTCAACAAAGTCCAAAATGATGTGGTAGCGCTCAGGAAGTGTATGATGTTCTTCCAAGGGTCTGCATGTCCTCCTTTTGCAAAATGTTCCTCTGGTTCGTGAGCGCATCCACAACTTCCTCAGTGTGGTCTGCATCCGAACGGCACAAATCATTTTGGGACCTTTGGAGCGATCGCTCGGCACTGCCATTGGTTGTCTCACCCACTGCGAAGCTGCCTGGCGATATCTGTGGATCCCTCCTTTCTGGTCATTCCATGCCTACATTGAGTGACCCCTGAAACCACCCGCATGCCGTACACTGAGTGTCTGGGTAAGATCCAGAAGAAACACCGGAAATTCCGGCGACCTGCAGAAAGCTTGGCCGCCTGTTTGGCCGCAAGGGAGGCTCTTTAGGTCCTGAACCCGCCCCCGGTTTCGGCACTCCGTGGTTCACGTCTGAGCTTTCGGTGCTTTGGGTCCATCCCGCAGCCATGACCGGATGCCAAAGGTCCATGCGCAGCGGCACGGTCGACTTCTCTGGATCGTGTCCTTTCAAGCTCATCGTGTGTGGGCATAGGTTCATGATGCAGTCTCGGACCAGCTGCAGGGTGCAAGCGCCTGGGGAGAGGCCCGCCGATGTTTCGGTGGCGGCGCATGGGTCTGAGGAGATCGGATGTTCGATGGATTTATCCACTGGAGGCGAGAAATCAGGAGCTTCGATGCGGCTGAATTTTTTTCAGGTGAACATCACAATTATATATATTCTTTTGGCAGCTCTCGACCTCATGTTCTCTTTGAAGGCCATCGCTGGCAAAACTGAGGGTTTCTTTGAATTTGAAAAGTTGATCTCCAATGTGGCAGTGACTGCACTCAGTTTTAGCTTCTCCGCGTACATCCGCGTTACTCCCAACTCCACAGCAGTTTAACCAATCACATGGCCAAGCAGCTCAGGTCTGGCAAAGTGAAGCCGAACTCTTCGCCAGAAGGATCTGGCCGGCCAGGTCGGGACGTTTGGTGAGCCGTTCCAACCAGTGCGCTTTTTCGACACCGCAAGACCAGCATTCTTTCAAGACTTGGCAAACAAAAGCATGCTATTGGGACACTCAGCGTTGATCTTCTCTATTTATCGGAGGGGGGGTATATGAAAAAACAAAAAAGCCAAAGACATCCAAAGACCATCAGAATGTTCAGGTATCTGTTAGGGTTGTTGGGGCAAGGTTTCAAGCGATAAAGGCCGGTGAAACTAGGGTATACAGTCTACAAGTTAGATCAACTTGCAGTAGTATGCAAGTTTCTACGCAAATCTGGAGTTTTAAACTTCTCAAATGTTGATTCCGATGTATTCCTGAGCACCAACGCAGTAGTTGAGACATGTTCGGTTGACTAAAGTCTTATTCCCGAAAACGGCGCGAATGCAGAATTCCTTGCGTGCCGCTTCATGTTTACCACAGAACTAACACTAATGGTGAAACCTTGTTTTATGGTATGGCTTTGTTCGTTTCACAGCAAAATACACTAGCGATCACTAGCGCATACTTTTGTACCTAAGCTGACTAGAGCTGCCGTCGGCAGTGCTAGAGGAGCTGCTCTCTGTACTGCTGCATTTGCTTGAGCTGTTTGCTCTGCCGACTCGTGTGGGCTTTGTCGTTTGTCAAGTGCAGCTCATACTTTGCCTAGGAGCGCTGCGCGATTTTGTTCTCACAGTATTGGGTCTGTCATTTGTGCCGTGCACTACCCGGCAACATTTCAGCAATCTCTGCTAGCGCGGAGCTAGCGCGAGCCTAGCGCGAAAAGTCTCGAACATTTACCTGGTTTAGCCCTGGCAAAGACAAGGTGTGAAAATGAGCAAAGCAAGCTCACTAGGAATAGTGCAACATGATGCCAACCATTTGAAGTTGTGTCCTTGCTCCTGCTAGCCCTATGAAACTGCACATCACAAATTAACATGTGGTCCAAGCAAATGGCTTCTAGCAATCAAAAGCAGATTCAAAAAAACGCTAGCACCCCACAAGCACCACGCTAGCGCCTAGCTTGTGTTTTAGAGTATTCCCTTGCGTGCCTCTTCATGATTGCCTTTTACATTCTAACATCACAAGTCACAAATGTAGTGTTGCCATTTTGTATAAACTCCTTAGCACCGACTTTTGGCATCCAAACACATGTTGAGATCCGGATACAAAGCGGTCCCGTGCGTCCAGATGGGCCTCGGCTCTCTGGATCGCGCGGATGCTTCGCCAGGATGTCTGTCACGTCCACGATGCTGTTGGGTCGAGTCCTACCGCACCCAGGGGCACGGTCGAGTGCTTCGCCACGAGTGGCGAACAAACTGAAAATTCGACCGCTGGGCCGCCCCTATCGTTTCTGTCCCAAAGAAGAACATCCCACAAGGAGCCTTGATGAACCCCAAATCGGGGAGCAACCCTGGCTGAGGAAAGCTTTGACTCATCCCAAGCTGCCAGGGAAATTCCATCAGCATCTGGTTTGACAGGTGTTCGTGCCAAAGAAAACATAGCTAAACTAAACTAACTAAACTAAACAACTCATCTGTATAGGCCATGGGCCATAGGTGCAAGAATTCGTTCTTGGTCGTTTGTTCCGACCAGCATACTCACAGTCCCATCACGAAACAAAAAAGAGCACAGGACTCATCGAAGAGTCGATGGCACATGGCACTCAATCTTTTTTGCAGATTTAAATACCTGGACCATCCAAGGGGTGCCCTGTCTGGAAGCCTATAGGTAGTGCAGGGTAGTCCAGCCAGGACACCCCGACAGGATGGTCCTGATAGATGGCCCCCCTTGCTGCTCGGACAGGAGTAGATGGCTCCACCACATGGACAGGAGCAATGCCATCTTATCTGAACTACAAGTGCATTCCGGTAAAGGCGGCGGTCCAACACGAGTGCTGAAATCAACAAACCCACCGTTCAACCCATCTGTATCTTGCCCCCAGTCATCAATCCGGGAACCTCACCTGGCTACAATATGCTACAATGCTCCACACGCATCTCACCATGCCATCGCGCCCGCCCTTTCACCCCTGGGAGGCTCAGGTCATCGGAGTCCCACAAAAGGGACATGGTGCCACCCCCCCGACGGATCGGTTCTGGCCTAAACCGCACTTCCGCGTCGTGGAGCTTCAGCATGCCCGGGAGCCCGATGGCGAAGCCATTGGTGGCCGTCGCTGCAGGGCCACCTCCCACGCACACGTACAGCGCCCCGGACCTGCGCTTTTCGCCACGCGCGGCGCGCGGCTTGCGCCGAGCGGTCGGTGTTCGAAGACTTTGCGGCGTTGGAGTTCTCTCTGAACGGTTTGGGGGCGGATCTTTTGGAACTCTCGTGGTTTTCCAGTGCAAATGCCATTGTCGCAACTTCTCGTTGACTATGCCGGAAAGAAAGGACAAGCCCCCTGTTCTTCGACCGGTCTCGCAGCCAATTTCTGGCTTATTGAAAAGGAGCAAACTAGAAATTCCACTCAATATGCACCAAGTATCACCAAGTTGGAAGAACATGATTCGGTGCAGATTTCGGCACATCATACAGCAAAGGGACACCACGATCATTAAAGACATCCCATCACGCATTGGTATCCTTGGGACCGACCACGGCGTGGGCTTCCGAAGGATTCCTTCGATCTCGACACATGGCGCGCGCCACGACGCTCACTCGGACGGACGGCCGTTTGGGGCATCGGATCGATCATCGTTCAACGCGCGGCACGACAAACGCATCGCAACTGCAAGCTTCTCATGCCCTCGCCCAGGTGTCCACACCAAGGCCTCGATGGTGCATGTGAATGTCGTGATCAAAACCCTGCCAAGGTGGATGTGCATGTGCATGTGGTTCACAACCTATGAAATGCCACTGCCCAGAGTGCCACCTGACTTTGAAAGCCAAGACTATATACAGCTCAAGGGAAAAATGTGTGGCGCAAACGGTGCAAACGCACAAACGCGTATGTGGAGGATTGTCAGGCACTCCCCTTAGGTTGTCTAGCTGTCTCAAGAGTTGTAATGCACCAAGTGATAGAGAAAGTTTCTCACTTTCAGAGGTGTCCAGTCGGTTGAGAACTGGCATCTGCCAGACAACCCCCGTAGACGGGATGATGAAGGTGGAAGGGGGGACGGAGTGTTCAGATGGGGACTCAGGTGAGTGCTGGACGATTTTGGTTTGCCTGGTCTGGCGTCGCTTTGCTAAAAGTGTTAAAAGCATAGCAAAATGACGCAAAATGAACATGTATAGTGTATACGACTCATGTTTACTTTCAAACGGTTGTGATTTTCCCGGAAAAGCGTTGGCTAGGATTTGGCCTGGGGTTCCCTCCGTGGATGCTGCCATTATGCACTGCAATCCAACGGGATTCCCTAAACACTCGAACTTGCTTGAGTATCCTGAGTGGTTTCCGGGTTCTTGCCCTGTACATTTGGAGCGTCTGGACACACTTCGCACAGCAATGGTGTACAAAAAACAAAACGATATGATTTGTCGATACTCATCATGGTGTGGGCGTGTCTCAATACAGCGGGGGTTCCGGGGTGCCAAATGCGGGACCAAGGGGCTTGCGCTGCAAGCCGCTTGAGCAAGTCAGGGTCACATCCCTTGAAAATCGTTTGCGCAGCGAGCGCCGAGAAAACGACCTCAGCTGATGATGGCTAAGAAAACATAAAGCTGCAAGTTTTTGCAGGGGGTGGATGGACAGTCGGCCAATAAAACATCCAAACCCACTGGCAAAGGGAAAAACAGTCTACAACCGCTGGATTCCTCAGTCTAGTTTTTGGCGCAGCGCGGAGATTTTGTTGGATCATTGGGCTAGGGTTGAACGAGGAACACATTAATGTGATCCACTCAATTTTGTGTGTCGTTCCCACGCGCTGTTTCAGAACAGAACGTCAACATGCGTTATGTGTTGGTGTTGAAAATGCAAGTGTGTGCACTCGAGAGATTTGGTAGGAATTAGGATGATTTGTGTTTTGGAAGTGCCCATGATGTAAGTAATATGGAAGGCAGCAAACACATTATTAAAAAAATGTATATGTTGGAACAATCTTGAAGCTGGTTTGTGTCTGAGAATGGTCTTGCGCTGAACAGTCCAATTTCCACCCCAGTCTTGGAAACTCTTGGGGTTCTGAATTTCTCATGGTCACAAGTTGATGTGAAACTATTGGCAATAGCTGCAAATATTTCGGAATAAAGCCACCTGCTGGCTCAACCGCCTTTCTGGACGATGCAAAAATACGCCCGAACAACCGAACAGCTGAAAAGGCTCCGTCCACGGCTCGTCGATGTGGCGAGGCGGTCGCTTTGACCGGTTGACATGACGTGCGCCAGTTGCGCGTTGCAGAGCCGTGGTATGTCTAAAACATTCTAAAACACCGGCAGCGGAGAATCGGAAAAAACGGTGTGGATTTAATCCCCAAGCAGTTCACAGTTGGGGGGGGCTTGTCCTCCTGGCAGGCCTCCTGGTGCTTGCAGTTCTACTGTTGGGGCTCTCTTACCAAAAGTACAGCCTCTGGCCGCCCCTAAACCTTATGTCCGGGTGTTGTCCTCCTGTTGTCCTCTTTTTGTCCAGCTCTGTGCCCCCTTCTTCTTCTTGTCTTCTTGGTGTCCTCCTGTTGTTCTTTGGCCGCGCTGGCAAACCCTGTCTCCTCCTCCTGGCCCCAAAACAGTTTACATTGCCATTGTCCAGTCCAGGCTTTGTCTATTGTGTTGGCCGCGCCGCCTATTCCGGGCTTATGTGTCCTAATTGGCCGGGCCTTGTTCGGGTCTGTCTGTCCTGCTGGTCCACGCTACGTTGTCGGCCCTTTTGCCAGAGCCTTGTCTGGGCCTTGTCCGCTGCTTGGCCACGCCGCTTTTTCTTTATCCACCGCCTTGTCCAGGTATGTGTTCGTGTGGCTATGAATGCAACCGTCTTTTTCATATATGACTCAGGCATCAGGAACTGTTGTTGTCAAACATGTTTGTTTACGTGTCGTTCCCAAACAGCTGGAGGCTATGTGTATATTATATAATATATATATATACACACACATATAATTGCAGACCTTCCCACCAACATTAGAATTCAAGACGCTTATACAAAAACATTTTTGCTGACCGGTCTATGCGGGCCTAATATATTTTGTTGCAGGGGAAGCGGGCTTGGTGGACAGGAATTTGCATGATTTCCAAGATGGATAGTTATGAGGTATGTGTTTATCCAGTTTGTCTCCTCTACCTTGGATTCCCAAAAATCGTGGCCCAGCTTTCAATCATGTCATCAGCAAACTCCACCATGTTCGTCCAAGCAACATCGTCTTCTTCACTCCAGTTCTCTGTCATCCACTGATGCTCACAGGCGACTCCAGAGCAGTGTGAAGATGAATCTCACAAAATGCGGGTTGCAGAATCCATCGCGGGCCCCAAAGTACCACTTCCTACCCCATCAGGCCATCAGGAAGTCTCGGGTCCTCTATTGAGCCTATACCTGCAGTTGACACATTCGTCTTGTCTCAACCCATACAATTGAGCTTGTGCTTTGGCCAACAACCAACCATGACAAACCCACCGGCTGTTCTTCAAAGATCAAGTCCTTGAAAAAAAGGAACACCTTGTTGAGGGTGACTACCAACCCACACATGTGTAAGGAATAGAATCCACAAAACCAATGTATACTATACACTGTAACCTTATGGGTGTCCACCACGACGCCTGCCTACCCCTAGATGATACATACATTGACATCACAGGCTGCATCAGGCCACTCACGTATGGGACAATGTTTTCTCCGAGTCCAACGAGCTTCACGACTTTGGCTGCCGAAGGCAACAAGACTCCCGTCACGGAGCTCCGACGCTGCTGATCTCTCATGAGACCGAGCTGCACTACACCGACAAATGCACCGGGCGCCCAGCGCGGGCTAGCTTCTTTGTGCTACTGGCTGATTTGCTTGGCAAGATCAGCTTCCTGCTAGGACCTATGCCTTTCTATGGTCTATTGGATACATTTCACCATCGTTTATGACGCACGTCACATAAAATATAAGTTTTATGTATATATACATATATAAATCTAAATGCGTTCAATTGTCTTTTCTGTTTGGTATGGCCTGGTGATGGCTTCTCCCCATATCCCTAGCCAAGGAAAGAATGTCTCAGACCTGTGTCAAACAAGAAAATCCATTGAAGACTTCTATCTCGAACCCACCAGCATCATTGCTTTGTGGCTTTTGGTCGATTGGCCGACAAATGAGGCAGTCGAAGTCCACCATGTGCGCGGCCATCGCTGTGCCTGCGCGAACGGTGACATCTGGGTCGGGAAGCCCACGTGAGGGAAGACAGCAGATCATCCCCAAGAGATGCTAAGATCAACTAAGATCAACTGCAAAGACGTTGAACATCTTTGAATTCCAATACAGATCCCTACAATCGAGCACCCATTTAAAAAGGCTGCCCAATGAACATAGAACTCATGTCGGAGACCGCTAAATACAGCTTATTATAAATTTAAACTAACGCCTTTTAAGCCCGCTACAGAACAACCAACATGGTTTATTATGGTGTAGTGTTTTATTTGGTTCCCCAAAACTGCCACACACTTCGCTTACAAAATGCTGCGCCTGCGAAATCTGCACTTCAAGGTTCTCAAAGGTACTGTTATCTTATTCAGAATCGTCAGACTAGGAACAAGTGCATCGCTTCTAGTAACAAGTGCCTTACTAGTAGTAACAAAGAAGCTTGTAGAAACAATAATTAGTATATTGTTTCTACTAGCAAACATTGTTCCTAGTAGTAAGGCCCTGTGGTTCTCAAAGGTACTGTTATTCAGAATCGTCAGACTGATGCTATTTTGGACCAGACCCGCAGGGACCATTCTGTTCGGTGAAGATACACCCTTCGCCGCCCCAAAACATCGTCCTAGGGCATTCGAGTTGCAGCGCATCACGACTTGGGTAAGTGGAGAGCGGCGCCAGTGGCGGAGGCCTCGAATTCTGCCCGTAAAGGGACTTGTCAGATCGACCTTTTGCATCGGTATGGATATTCGTCCACATAAGTTATCATGGCTTGGCATAAAACCCGCTTTTAACTATGCGTTTAATCGTAACTTAATATTATGAATTTGGTGAGGTGTACTAGAACCGTTCAACGGATGTTTTATTCAACGAAGCGACGTCGGGAGAAGAACTCAGCGCTGGACTGCAAAGAATGTCGCTTCAGTGACATCTCCGACTGGCTCGCACCCATTGGACCTTTGGTCCTGAGATCAGCTCCCAGGGATCTCAATGGATCTCATCTGACTGACCCGAGATCGGCTCCGCTTGAGGGTGCCCTGAAGGAGGGGGGAGCGCTTCCGTCCGAACGGCTCCCGTTTTACTTGTGTGGCGTCTTCCCGTTCTGCGTGTTCCAGCTCGACATGCTGTGGCACCTGGAGCCCCGAACCATAGGTTGACCTCCCTGGTAGTCTATTCTGTTCATTTTCAGTGGGAAAAACCAGGGTCCCTTGGATTGGACCCGGGACTCCTGTCCGGGACTCCTGTCCGCTCCGACGTCCCAACAATTGCCCAGCAGCGAGGAGAACACAGGCGTGTCTGGCTCCTGGCGCAAAGAAAAAAATAGATTCGATGAAGGACTCATGACAAAACAGGAAATTGGTCATGGAACGGCCCATCACTACTACCTTACCCCTTGTGGGGGTCAAGCACAGCAAGGGGGTAGTGATAACGGCCCTACTATTAGACAAAACCAATACCAAATTCCATGTTTTTTTGGCAGACCCGTCCTGCTCCACCTCCACTTTGCAGGAGCCTATGTTGCACTCTTGCAATGACCATGTCATTGGTCCACATTTCAGACTGCATAGTGTGGGAAAAAAAACACACATTAAAAATTACTTTACTTCGAAATTCCCCACCCTCAAAGAATTGGTCTTCACAAGAGAAAAGCGGTTCGGCGCGAAAAGGATTCTTTATTGAAAACAAAGCCACACATCGAATACTTACTTGTGAGGTTTCTGAACTTCGATATTTTAATGCCTGGCAACCCCACATCCCTGCCAAGTCAACTTGTGGTGGATATGCTGTGGAACTGGTACTTGGGAGCACTCTGGTGAATGTGCTGGTGTAAAGGCTACGCTGGGCTACTCGGGGCCACTCTGGTGGATGTGCTGTGTAAGGGCTACTCTGGGCCACTGTGGGCCACTCTGGTGGATGTGCTGTGTTCTTTGGGTTGCTCTGAGCTACGCTGAGACCACTCTGGTGGATGTGCAGAAGTAGCGAGTCTACTGAAGTCCAAAGTTCTTAAAATCTAACAGCCCCACAGTCCTACGGGTGGGGAAAAAACTGCTTTGATAAGTACATTACAAGTCTACAACTATCCTGCGATCTCTTTGGTAAATGTGCTGTGGAGAAGCTAAGTTGCGCTACTAAAAAAACTGTGGTTGCTGTGGACAAGCTAAGTTGAACTACTTAGAAATCAGTTTGTGAATATGCTGTGGAAGAGCTAGGCAGCTAGGTTTAGCTACTCAGGGATCAGTTTGGTGAATGTGGTGTGAATACTCAGAGGTCATTTTGGTGAATGTGCTGTGGAAGTGCTACGTTGAATTACTCAGGGATTACTTTGGTGAACAGGGATCAGTTTGGCGAGCGTGCTGTGAAAGAGCCACTTTGGGCTACTCAGAGATCACCTTGGTGAACGTGCTGTGGAAAAGCTAGCTTGAATACTCAGGGATCACTCTGGGGAACGTGCTGTGGAAGAGCTACTTTGGGCTACTCCGGGATCTCTTTGGTGAACATGCTGTGAAAAAGCTACTTTGGGCTTCTCAAGGATTACTTTGGTCAACGTGCTGTGGAAGATCTAAGTTGGGCTACTCAGGGATTACTTTGGCGAGTGTGGTGTGGAAGAGCTAAGTTGGGCTAGTCAGGGATTCCTTTGGTGAACGTGCTGTGGAAAAGCTACTTTGGGCTTCTCAAGGATTACTTTGGTCAACGTGCTGTGGAAGATCTAAGTTGGGCTACTCGCGGACTACTTTGGTGAGTGTGCTGTGGAAGGACTAAGCTACTCAGGGACCACTTTGGTGAGTGTGCTGTGGAAAAGCTAAGTTGGGCTACTCAGAGACCACTTCGTGAGTGTGCTATAGAAGAGCTAAGTTGGGCTACCGGGCGTGCTGAAGTCCAAAGTTCTAAAAATCTAACAACCCCACAGTCCTACGGGTGGGGAAAAATCTGAGCATCCACACACAAGTTGTGAAGTGCTCTGCCAGCAGCTTCGCCCGCGCCAACGGCAACAGCCGCCACCGAAGAAAAAAAACCGGCTTGATAAGTACATTACAACTCTACAACTATCCTGGGATCACTTTGGCCAGTGTGCTGTGGAAGAGCTAAGTTGCGCTACT